TTAACCGGAGAAATGCAATTTTGTTGGAAAGTAAACATAATCGTAAACTTTTGATTTATTGGCTTTATCTTTTCGTCACGCACCAGCGACGACCAGATGATTAACGGCGCAGTGAAATTATTGCGAAATGAGAAATCGACATGAACGTTCCGAGTTGCCGGTTAAGAATTCCTAAACAGATGTCTATAGTCGGGGTATAGAACTCGTTGAGGTAGCAGTGAAAAACTACTTTTGCAGCATACGCGTTGTCTGACGGTGCGGTCGGTCCGGGTGACTGGCGCGAGCCAGTTACAACCGCCCCGAGCCGAGACCACTCGACTCAGGTAGCGCCGGGATAAAAAAAACATACTTAAAATGGAACGGACGCGGTTTCACCTAGATACCGCGATCGCGATCGGCCCACTGAACGATTCCATCGATTACGATACCGAGAAAACGAAAAACATATATTACAAAGAAAACCTCATATCGTCATCGTGTTGTGATTGTGATTCAGTCGACGTCGCGTATCTTCGTTTCGTTGAGCCTGACTAGTTTTAATCTCCCATTCACATCACACGTTCGATAATAATACAGGACGGCCTACGTTCTATGAATGAGCTTATAACATGTAAATTCGTCGCTCACAAATCGCGACACGGGCCGGAGCGTAGGCGTCGGGACTTGAATGAAAATAAACATATACGGCGGAGGCGCTTACCTCTCGATTTTAATTATTTTATCCAGATTAGCGATATGTACGGGGCACTCGGTGAAACGATTATCGAAGCGAGATCACACTGAACTGGCGAGCATAACACTGTGATGGGACGCGGCGCGATATAGCAGCTGACAGCAGTACAAGCCGGCGGCCGGTTGGTCGAGTACTGTGCTCAGAGTGCGGCGCACACCAGCGCGGGCCCGTAGGTGCGCCCGCGTCGGACGCACACACGCGCGTCTCCATTCAAACACCGTCGCGGCGCCGCGGTGGTGGGGCGGACTTATGAATGGACGTAGTGGAGCCATGTCGTACAGATACCGCTGATAAGGCGCTGTGCAAGCATTACCGGCGATACGGACCCACCGGTATCGAAGTACTTGTTGTGCTTAATAAAAACATCATCGGCGCACATCGTGCGTGTTGCGCCAGCGTTATTAGAAATGGTTTTAATAGTTCGCATTTCGAAAGCAACCCAGATAAAACAAAACGTTTTATTTTTATATATTATAATAATCTGTATAGTTCATTGTGCTATCGCTTCGTTAATTGGGTAACTGGTAATTGGAAAAACATCCAAATGAGAAATAAAAATCGGTAACATTCAACAATAATTCTATTACTTATTAGTAGAATAAATATTTGCTATTATTATTATTATTATTTTTTATAATACTAATATTATATTGTTTACATAACATGAAGAGAAACTTAAGGAAAAGCTTAAGACAGTCCCTTGAGGAAGGTGGATAGCTTGTGACTCTTGTAATCCGCTCGGAGCTGTATGAAGCTCAACAGAATCGAATGATCAAACTCCGCCTGTAAGAAAAAATCAATATTATATAACACACCAATATTATTACACCGGAATCGGCTCTATGCAACATCGTTTTATGTGACGTCATTTGAGGCCAAATATACGTGTGTCAACAAACAAACGATCAAGATTGTACACTAATCTACAATGGATAGGCTTGTTGACGTCGAGGGCGGATAAAAAGGTTGGATTAAACTTTATATAGGGACTTCAAATTAGAATTTGTTTATGAATTATTGGTTTAATTTTATTAACATCCCTTAGAATTAATTTATTAAATTATACAAAAAACTATAAACTGAGATCAAAATTAAACATGAATTTAGATCACGATACGGATTACAATACGAAAAAATAATATCAAATCAGAGAAATTACTTATAAGTAATATAAATGTATCATTAAAAATACACATTAATTTAAAATATGTCTTTTTTCGTCTGTAATTACATTTTGATCAAATTACAGCATCCATTATGGTCATTGTTGTTGAATCAAAGCGACATATCATTTTATTATTCCGTATTTGGAGTACCTACGTAGAGAGTAACAATGAAATTACAATAGCAAAGTCAATCGGTGAGATGACTGTTTTTGTTTGTTACAACCAAACAGTTTAGGTAGTACTTATGTATAGTCTATTTATTGTACGTGTTTTAAATAAATTATTTAAATCTGCTGTTCAAGTTTTGAGATGCAGGCGATTATAGTTTTTGAAATCGAGATAGAATGCTGTCTGTCTCTTTCACGCAAACCGAGTTGGAAAATAAATTAAGAGTTTAATTTAGTTCCTACTTTAATTTGAATAAGAAACAATAATAATATCAGACAAGAAGTGACAGATAAAAATCGTTTCTGATCTAAATCATAATGGTCGATAATTATAATAAATAAATAAATAAAATTAATGACAATCAGTTATCAATGTATCAAACCATATAAATACAAAACCGCATTCACAAGAATGTGACTAAAACTAGACGATTTTACGCTGGACAATATTTAGTTGTTTCAAAATTGTGACACATTATAATTAAAATAAGCATCGTGCGACTGTGTGCGATTAATCGTAAATTTTCTGAGGACCAAATTTTTTTTTTGTTTGTTGCTTATATGGTTGGACCAGCTCACAGCCCACCTGGTGTTAAGTAGTTACTGGAGCCCATAGACATACATCTACAAGGTAAATGCGCCACCCACCTTGAGATATAAGTTCTAAGGTCTCAGTATAATTACAACGGCTGCCTCACCCTTCAAACCGAAACACATTACTGCTTCACAGTAGAAATAGGCGGGGTGGTACCCGTGTGGACTCACAACACCAGTATATCTTTTTTCGTTACCATGAAGTTTGAAAGGTATAAAGCATTTACTTGAGTTACGTATGAACTGTCAATAGCCGTGCCAAATTTTGATTTTCTAATGTGGTCTAAGATCGAATAAGATTGTTCATTCAGACACATTTAATTTAAAAAAAATCGGTTTCTGTGACTTTTTTTTTCTTTTTTCTTTTGGGGCGATTCTCGTGGTTTCTCACATGGTATGTGAAACTGCCGAAGTCATCACGTAAACCTAGCGTGTATAACCTAGGACAGCACTGTCCTAAGTAACCCAGCTTCAAACACGATTAGAGGAGACAAAACAGTCTGAGCCTTACAGAGTGATCATGAAGGTTTGAACTTGAATGGCAGAGTGAACTTGAAGCCCGCAGTGGTTATTGCTACCTATCCTATTCAGTCTTATTCTCTCACGAATGAGTCACGCATTCCGGCTTGAAGGGCACGATAGCCGTTATTCAATACGATTGAGATTCCAATCAAATATCTCAAGGTGACTGGCGGCTTTGTGATGCCCACGGACTCTGCTAACCATTGAAACTATAGTGGTCTATAAGATGGTTCACACAAACAATGCAATAAAAAAATTAGATCACACTGCGTTTGCAAAGTTAATAAAAACATAAAATCCACGTCCAATAGTCTTATAAAAGAATTAAGATAAGGTCTAAAAAATAAGCATCAAAATTTAAATGTATATAACGTATTAATTAGATACTCTTTCTGTTATATGTAAGAAAAAAACTGACATATCTTCGAAACAAAATATCAATAACACTAAGGCAGCATAAAAGAAAATGCTTGCTACTTTACTTAACCATTTTGACTTATTTATATATGTATATATATTACACGTACAAATTATACGTCAAGTGTTCCAAACATATACCCAGCATTAAAGTGTCTTTTTATTACCATAGTTTTACTATTCAAGGACATCAGAAACGTGCCACCGTTGTATAGATATTGTAATATTCTTATTGTACAAAATGAATTCATTCGTTTTAACGAGACAGTGGAAGAGAACATAATAATACTGTACAAAGATAGCAAGTAAATATATTATTATTTAAAACTAGAATTACAGTAATGTTTTATTTATAATAAATGTACAGGAAAACCTTTATTATTTAAAATCTTTAAAACTCTTTAGTTTTAAAAAAGATTTTTCTTAGACGGAATCACTCATCTGTCTGTCATTGAATAAAAAGAAAGTTCTTACGTGCATAGTATTTTTTTTTTAAATTAATTTTAAAAGAAATTAAGGGCTTTAAATGTTGTTATATCTTATTATATCACAGAAAACGGAATTAATTATTATTTTCATCATCATCAATTATCCTGCCCTTCTCCCAGTTGCCTGGGGTCGGCGCAACATGTTTTCTCCTCCCATACTCTTCTATCATATACCATTCATTCCTTCGCTCACTCCCCTCTCACCCATATCGTCTTTCACGCAATCCATCAATTTCTTCTTAGGTCTACCCCTTCCTCTATATCCTTCCACATTCATAGTTAACATTTTCTTACCAACCTCATTTTCATTTCGTCTCATCACATGTCCATACCATCCCAAACGGGCACTTCTCAGCTTCTCTGTCACAGGTGCCACTTTCAGACTATTATTAATTAAGTCTTTTATTGTTTATTAATTCTGAAGTATTCCATATAATATATATATATATACACAGATATAAAGCTGCAAGACCATTTAATAGTACAATGTTTTTCAGATATTATTAATTAGAAGGACGCGCTCTGAATTCTCTCAAGGTTTTTTTCACAGCTGCGGCTCTTTTTGGAGCCGTTGGCAGAGTTTAGTATGAATGTTATAAGCCGAATGCCATCACTCCGGCTAGGTGGCGGCATTTACGTTGTAGATGTCCATGGGCTCCAGTAACCACTTAGCACCAGGTAGGCTGTGAGCTGGTCCACCCACCGAAGCTATAAAAAAAGAATACTGATTTGAAATATACAGACCAGGGTCTCTCCCTCGCAGACCTGATGCAGGTTCTCCGGTTTGACGAGCAGCAGATTGCAGAGCGCGTGCAGAGCGTCGAACAGTCCGTGGGCCGGAGCCGGAGCCGCCCTCGAGCCGCGCCCGCACACGGCCGACCTGTACTCCTTCACGTCGCATATCGCTATCATAGCACCTGCACAGTTTTGATAAAATCGAACCTTAAATTCAAGGGCGTATGGTCCCTAATTGAAAAATTCGCATCTAATAATAATAACAAAAATTAAGATTTGTTCGTGAGTTATAGATGCCTCTTTTTTCTATCTATGCTGATAGCCTTGAGAGGCTATTTCAGCTTGGCCTTGATGTATAGGTGAGCTCAGGGGGCTCAAACCGGAGTGTTGTTAACACTGGCGCTAGCAAGAGCAGTGCTTCGCAGAATCTACCAGCGGATCGGAAACGCGACCCACCGAGAAGATCCGGCGAGAAACTCAGTGGGATGTGTTTATAACTTAATTCGCTCGTCGAGCCCTTCGTCGCAAGCGACGGATTCGACGAGGACGGTGATCGGTGCTCGAGATACCTAAAAGCACCGTTAATGAATCGGAAGGATCCGTAATCGTATTGAGAGGTGAAAGGATATTTGGTTTAAGTGACATTTTTGCAAGTTTACAAGAGAGCCAATTAAAGTTCAAAATTTAGAAAAAATACCATATAACACAAAAACTACTTCAGCTATTTCGATGGTGTAAGCTTAATTGAACTTCAATTAAAAACATCGAACTGTTGATAATTCTAGTACCAAATAAAACGCACCTTTAATTGCAAAGATAAATGTCGCGTAATAAGTGAAATGTCACTTAAGCCAAATAAATAGCCTTTCATCACTCAATGTGATCTCTATGATATCAAAAACAATCATTTTAAAAATTTTGTGAGTTGTGCAGTTTTGTGAGCGGATAGGGAAAACGGAAGCTTTATTACTAAGCGCCTAGTATTTCTTCTTGAGAAATCACTTTGCTTTTATAAAGTTAGGATGGTTAAAGGTTAGCGCAATGAACTGTGAAAATTCGTGTGAGTAGTATTGAATACAAGACGAACTCGAAGTATTTAACAAGTTGATTATTAACACGATGTCATTAATGAACAGTTTAATATTACTATTCGCATTTTCTATACTAATATTATAAAGAGGAAAGATTTGTTTGTTTGTTTGTTTCGAATAGGCTCCGAAACTACTGGACCGATTTGAAAAATTCTTTTTCCATTAGAAGCCGACATTGTCCCTGATGAACATAGGCTACCTTTTTTAATTTTTTTTTAATTTTTTTTTTTTTTTTTCATGTGCGTTTTAATGTTTCCGAAGCGAAGCGAGGGCGGGTCGCTAGTCCTAAATAAAATAAAAATTAGAATGGAGTGTGATATCCTGTGGAGTCGAGTTTTTTTTAAGTGATTGTACGACCAGGTCGGTAACTTTTTTTTTTATTGCCCTTGTAGGCAGACGAGCATACTGCCCACCTGATGGTGAGTGGTCACCGTCGCCCATGGACTTCAGCAATGCCAGAGGCAGAGCCAAGCCGCTGCCTACCGTTTAATACTCTCTACAAGCCTCGTTTGATGAACATGTCATAGCGCTCGGGAAACACCGTGGAAGGGAGCTCATTCCATAGCCGGATGGTAGGTGGCAAAAAAGACCTCTGCAAACTCACTGTGGATGACCGCAGTGGCTCCAGGTAGTATGGATGAACTGAGACCTTTTTAGGTCAGTCTTATTTTAATGTGGTTTCTAGAGGGCGGGTGTCTGGCAGTAACTTTTTTAATACATTGCTCTCTCACGAAATATAAAGTCATGTAGTGAACATGTATTATACTGTATGTAAATATTATGTTTCGGTTAACAGTATCCTGCCTTTTTACTCTTTTTGCGGGTTGATTTACTGGGCGTAAACTTATTCATTTCCAAAAATATGACCAATTGTTAGTTGTTGAAATGCCTGAATGTTTTCGGGATTTCTGAATGCTATAATATCGTCCATATAAACTAACATCAAATAACGTGTGCACAAACTCAAAAGACATTCGTTGGCGATTAAAAGTTAATAGTAATCAAGATTATGTTGAATTTAGGTAACTTTTTTGTGCTTTATATTGCTCATGGCAAGCTAACTACCGTGAAATAAATAGAACATGTCAAAACCGAATTCATATGTATATTTTTTTAGTAAAATTATAATATATAAAGTATTAAGTATTTAAAATTCTTGTAAACATATAATCACAACGTTTCGGCAACCCTAACGAGAAAATTAAAGAAATTATTATTATGTAATGATATGAGATGCCTCATGACAATGACTGCGGTGGCAAATAGATGAATCATTCAATCAACTTTGTGATGAGTGCAAACTATTAAAGGCATGTTTTTTTTTTTAATCAATTCAACATCGCATCTGTATGAAGATGTAGATTCGTTATTCGAATGTATTTTTGAGAGCTTTAATTTCATTTAGATTCTTGGGTAATCTAGATTTTAGAAGGAGCAGTTTGGTTTTTTTTTGTTTCTTTATCGCTTAGATGGGTTTTTTTTTCCTACCTATGCTGATAGCCTTGAGAGACTATTTCAGCGTCACTCTAACGTTTGTAGGTGAGCTCACGGGACTCAACCGGAGAGTTGCTAACACTGACCCTAGCAAGAGCAGTGCTTCGCAGAATCTACCACCGGATCGGAAACGCGACCCGCTGAGAAGATCCGGCGAGAAACTCAGTGGGCTGTGTCTATGGGTTAGTTCGCTCGTCGAGCCTTTCGTCGCAAGCGACGGGTTCGACAAGGACAGTGACCGGATGAGGACGGTGACCGGTGGATGGTTCGATAAGCTCATGATCCACCTGATGTTAATTAGTTACGGGAGCCCATAGACATCTACAACGTAAATGCCGCCACACACCTAAAGACAAGAGTTCTAAGGTCTCAATATTAACAGTACAACGGCTGCCCCGCCCTTCAAACCGAAACGCATTACTGCTTCACGGCAGATATAAGCAGGGTGGTGGTACCTACCCGCGCGAACTCACAAGAGGTCCTACCACCAGTAACACGTCGTACCTTGATGTACGTTTTTATTAGAACAAAGTACGACGACTCCATTTTCAACTCGAGGTGATTATTCGCTGATAGTGAGCCTTGAGTTCGAAAATTGGCAACACCGAGCTAGATTTTTTGCAACATGTCGTTTTAACAGACAGTGTTGCCGCTTTCAGACTAAACTATAATATAATAAGCATATAGTATATAGCTCATAGCACAACAGCATCGCACACCATACATTGTTATGGACACGTTCACACTGTACTGTACTATATATTATTGGCTAAATATAGGATGCAATATACTATACTAACTGTACTCGCCTGCTTCGCTGGGCATTTAAAATTAACATTATTATTTACTGTCATTATTATTAGGGAGTCCAACACTCATATAAATATTAGTTTATCCATTAAGTACATCTATTTTCTACATGGATACCGAGTTTCAAGTCAAGTAATGAGTAAGATTTTAAATAAATATAAGTAAACTAGCTGACGCGGCAGACTTCGTAGTGCCTCAATCGATAAATAAAATACCTAAATTTTTGTATAAAATAAACTTAAAACAAACAAAAGGAATCCGTCCAACGGGAGACACATCAAAGGGAAAACAAAATTGTTATTTTTATTTAAATCCGAGCATTTTCATATTTATTTAACTTTCGAACCTTCTCTGGACTACCACGAATAATTCAAGACCAAAATTAGCCAAATCGGTCCAGCCGTTCTCGAGTTTTAGCGAGACTAACGAACAGCAATTCATTTTTATATATAGAGAAGATAATAATAATAATAACAATAAGCCATTTATTTCTTGCTTTTACAAAGTTTAAAATTAATAATAAATATTTAGGATGCAAAAGAGAGTTTTGGAATGAAACAGTTGTTGTAAAATTTAGTTAGCAAGAACCCAGGACTGGGTAAAGGCCTCCTCCAAGTATATTTATATATTAGTATAAATATAGATGACACTATAGTATAGTGTAGTCTGAAAGCAGCTTAAAACAAAAACAAGAAAACATCACAATCAATCCATTCGCAGTCACAGTGGAATCACAAGAACCATACCTGCCGAATTAAACTGGAAGTTATGCAGGTGTTCGTATATAACCCTGTGCAGTCTCACGGCCAGCTCCAACGAGATGGAATTTCTATTGTCATCCTCCAAACCATCGTGTATTTTATCCATTACCGAATTCAAATAGGACACCACTGCTAGGCAAGCCTGCAGAAGATAATTAGATTTTTAATTGTTTTATATATGGTGTTGGAGAAACGCATGAAAAAGTTAATATGGTTTTAGAACGTTTTTGTTTTTTTTTGCTTTGATGGGTGGACGAGCTCACAGCTTCCTGGTATTAAGTGGTTACTGGAGCCCATAGATATTTACAAAGTAAATGCGCCACCCACCTTAAGATATACAGTCGTGGTCAACTAATTAGGGACAATCTCTAGTTAAGCCAAATTGTGAATATTTTTTTTATTTTCCAACGAGTCTTAGCAGTATTCCATATCTTTTACATGTAAGTGTAATTAGTCATTTATGTGCGCGATTATACAAACAATAACAACTTCTTAAACATTAAACCTCTTTACAGTATAATTGATACAATATCATAGTGCTATTGGTTCAAAAAATGCTGGCTGGCCATTTAATTAGGGACACTGAGGTATTGCGTTCTAATTTCAAAATTGGAATTTTAATACTTTTTTGTTTCTTTTCTTATTGTTTAGTGGTCGTTTTAGCGGCAAACCAGATTTTTTATTTTAAGTTTTGAGAATTATTTTGAAGAAAAATGGGCAAAAATAAAAGTTGCGATCCAACACTACGAAAAATTATCATGAAGTTTGTCGAGCGTGGTTGGTCATACCGAAGGATAGCACAACATTTAAATTGTTCAAAAACTATGGTATGCAATGCAGTGCAACATTTCAAGCGCTATAACACAGCTTTCAATGTGTCCAGAACAAAAAGATCGAGAAAAACGACTCCGCAAGAAGATAGAATGATAACCAGGTTAGCTAAGAAAGATCCGTTTCTAGGCTCTATTTTAATTAAACACGAAGTGTTTGGGGCAAACGAAAGAGCCGGTGTATCTGCGAGGACCGTTCGACGACGTTTGATAGAAGCAGGGTTGTTCGGAAGAGTGGCTCGCAAAGTACCGTTGTTGAAGGAAGAACATAGAAATGCTCGTTTGGCATTTGCACGTAAATATGGACATTGGACCTACGCCCAATGGCAACATGTACTTTTCTCTGACGAGACCAAGGTTAATTTAATTTCTTCAGATGGAAAGCAATATGTACGGCGTCCTGTAAAAGCGGAAATGAATCCAAGATTCACAAAAAAACAGGTGAAACATGGCGGTGGAAACATTGAAAATATGGGGTTCATTTTCTGGCCGTGGAGTGGGACCTGTGAGGAAAGTTCAGGGTAACTTAGACCAACATCAATACAAGGCAATATTGGAAGAAACTATGGTTCCCTATGCTGAGGAGCATCTCCCTATTATATGGACGTTTCAGCAAGATAACGACCCGAAACATACCGCCCATTCAGTCAAGTCGTTTCGAACCAGTCAGTTTGTATCGGTGCTAGATTGGCCAGCAAATAGCCCGGACCTCAACCCAATTGAGCACCTTTGGCACGAAATCAAGAAAAAAGTTGCCACTTATCGTAATACAAATTTGGATGAACTTCATGAAGCTTTTTGTGAGGCATGGGCAAACATTCCTGCCGAAACATGTCAGAAACTGATAATGTCTATGCCACATCGGTGTCAAGCGGTAATTACTAACAAAGGTTTTGCTACTGGGTACTGATTTTACACGTAATAAAATGGAGCTGTTAAAGATATTATAACACTGAAGATTATAAGTTTTGTGTAACTGTATTTTTCATTATAGTTTACTGTCCTTAATTAAATGTCCACTACAGAATTGTACNAATGTCTATGCCACATCGGTGTCAAGCGGTAATTACTAACAAAGGTTTTGCTACTGGGTACTGATTTTACACGTAATAAAATGGAGCTGTTAAAGATATTATAACACTGAAGATTATAAGTTTTGTGTAACTGTATTTTTCATTATAGTTTACTGTCCTTAATTAAATGTCCACTACAGAATTGTACCTTAATATTTAACACATGTTTAATCTTTGATATTAAATACTTTTTCTATTTATTAAATCTTTTATTTACAGCCATTTATAGCATCATAATCGGACCATATTATGCAAATAATAGGTGCTGAAAAATCAATAGGGTTTTATATTTAAATGTACATAACCGGTTATAGCCCTTCACTATCTTGAATGTCCCTAATTAGTTGACCACGACTGTAAGTTCTAAGGTCTCAAGTATAGTTACAACGGCTGCCCCACCCTTCGAACCGAAACGCGCGCAAATTATAATTTTGCGGGTTTGATTTTTATTACACGATGTTATTCCTTCAGCGTGGAAGTCAATCGTGAACATTTATTGAGTACGTATTTCATTAAAAAAATTGGTACCCGCCTGAGATTCGAGCACCGGTGCAATGCTCGACACGAATGCACCGGACGTTTTATCCTTTAGGCCACGATGTATTATTAGCATAATTCAAACTCCATCGGATAACTACTTACAAGTAAATTAATAAATAAAAAAATTGACTGACTATTTTTTAAAAGTATGAATTAATCGCAAGATTATTTTAATTTAAATATAACTTGAATATTAGTTAAGTTTTTTTTAATATATTTCGTCGCCCGTAAACTACAAAAATGTCACGAACCAATTTGCCGATCTATACATACATACGTTACCGACGTTGTCCGAAGGGTTTTAATAAAAAATCTTACTGGTGACGCTATAGTATCGATGTCCCCTTCCGGTTTGAAGTCAGTCTTCTTTTGTTCGGTCTGCAGATGCAGCTTCACCCAGCTCACTATAGCCGATATAGCACGTTCCAAGCCAGCGTCAAGTTTGCTCTCGAGTTGGTCCATTATAGCCGTCTTCTTGTGTAAACATTCGGTTTGTTTCGAAGATGAGCTGTAAATTGTAGTTTTTTTATAACCTATTTTTACATCCAAATTTTCAGTTCTGACACGGTGTAGTGTGAGCCCATATGCATACAACCATCACTTATATATCTCCCGCAAGGTTCTCAAGAAAAATAGTGATTGAATCATTAGTGTCATATTGTTATAATCAATTATGCTCTCTTATCGATAAAGAAGGGAAACTGAAATATTTGATGAAGACACCACACCCTCTGTATTGCACGCAATGTATAACACTTAGAAACAGTAAACACGCGAAGTCAACGACCTCGTTCGACGCATTGACTCTTCCGTTTAGACAGCGGGCTCATGAAACACGAACTTCCTGAATACTCGTCGTATTAGGCAGCGGCTTGGTTCTGCCCCTGGCATTGTTGAAGTCCATGGACAACGGTAACCACTCACCTTCAGGTGGGCCGTATGCTCGTCTGCCTACAAGGGCAATAAAAAAAAATGCTTTTATCAAATTTGACAAAAATATATTTTTCAAATAAGATTTAAACGTGATTTTGAGCAAATCAATAAATGTGCGAAATTGATCAGTTGTTGATTAATTGTAATATGGGCGCTGGTTCAGCATCATACTTGCTGAATAACTATCAATGGTATGTGCTGGATGCTAGCCACCAATGATCAACACTCAAAGTAATATAGAACATAAGCATAATACAATTCATTTGATATATTACAATCAATCTTTACAAAACACTAACCTTATACAAGGTAAGATCGACTCCTGGAAATGTTCCTCGAACTTTCTCACAATTACATTAGCTTGTTTTACAGTATCAAAGAAATATATCTGAAATTAAGTTATTTATTAAAAATAAATGAAACAGTTGTTATTATTCATTGTTCTCTGCATTTATTTAATGGAAAAGAGTATATCAACAATCAACAAGGCCTTCTACTCTGTAAAGCTGTTACTTTAATTCAATTGAAACATCACAGTCATGAGTCAAAGACAGCTGAGGCGTTTAAGTTGAGGTATTTACAGACACCAGTGATCACTAAATTCCAAGTCTATGGATCTAATATAATGAATATATAATAATGATAGAACTCAACCAAAACCATACTTTAAGTAATGACAATAAAGACTCAAACTATTATTTATTCATCATGAACACTTTGCTGCCAGAATGTAAAAAATCTACGAACCTGAGGTGGCGACTTGCCTTCCGCGATAGGTATAGACTGCAGACCCAAATCCAATGCATAATCAACGTGTTCTATCAGTAAATGTTGCGTGACCACCTCCAGTAGAGTCATGGCTGTGTGCGGCAATTCATTGGGCGTACACAGCTGAAAAAAAATTTATCAAAATATTTTTTTGTTGATTTCTATAACAAACTAGTATCATATTTCAATTAATACGTGGAGCGAAAAATTTGTACCGCCTTTTTAAGAAAATTACACGGACGGAGTATGAAATTTCCCACACTTGTAGAGAATATAGAGGAGTGCAGAATTCTAATACTTTTTTAAATAATGCATAAAAAATAAATTAAATCAATAAAAAAAAGCATTACGCGCACTACTATGTATTTGACACAACACATACAAATATACTATTTGTTTATTGTCAATTGTCAAACTTTTGTTATTGTGGGTCAAATTGAGAATAGATTAATATTGTTTGTCTTTAATATTATTAATCTATAATGTAGTTTTGGCGAAATCTGTGATTTTATTATAGAAATAATAGTGTTTGACAATAGACCCTAATAACGTTTAAACTTATAATTTCGACTACTGCGGGACCACTATTTTACGTAAATCTAAGGAAAATCTATTATAAATAATCTAAATAAAGCAAGACAGTTGTTTAGCTTCGACTGTGACAGGTAGTATAGAACACTAATTGTTACAATAGTTAATAGGAACATTAAACAATATTATAATAAATATCCACAATGGCGCTAATTGTAATCAGACTAAGATGTGAACTTAGTTGCAGCGGTATCTGTGACTGATATGAACAAATTCTGCAAAAACCTAATTATGCTATACAATGACAAGTTAAAGAAAAAAAAAATCAAATGCAACATCTACTCAGTGGAAGATCTTTTCTTTGTTGTAGTTCCCTACAAATAGCTTTTGTAATGAAAACGGTCACGTCACCAAATGATTTCTAAATTTTATTATAAAATGACAACATCAAGACTTTGGAAATACTGGAGGGGCAGTCAAGTGTCTATATTATAGTAATAACTAACCGTTTTACATCTAAGGAAAGACGTTTTAGCATCGTTGAGCATTTTCTGAACTAATTGTTCACTGAGAAACGTTTCTCCGCCATAATTCTCAATCTGGGCTATGTTTATATTGGCGCGGGTTCCGATTACAGCCTGCAAATCGCGCCTCAGTTCTTGGAAACTAAAAACCGAACATAAAAATGAACGAGTCATTAGTGTATGTATTTCTCGTGTGCTTTTCACATATTTCGGTTATTTCTTCTTAAAGTTTTTCCTACGTAAGCCGGTAGCCTTGAGAGGCTTTACCAGCGTCACCAAGCGAATAGGTGGGCTCATGGACCTCTAACCTGAGGATGTTGCTAACACTAGCTTTGGCAGGAGGTGCTTCACAGAATCAACCACGGGATCGGAAACGCGACCCACTGAGAAGATCCGGCGAGAAACTCAACGGGCTGTGTCTGAGGGTTAATTTACTCGCCGAATCCTTCGTCGCAAGCGACGGCTTCGGGCGGTCACCGGTATATTGTCTAGTCGGTGACGTATATAAACAAAGTAACTATCAAGAAAATGAATGATTTTTTTACTGGTAGGACCTCTTGAGTCCGCACGGGTAAGTACCACCACCCCGCCTATTTCCGCCGTGAAACAGTAATGCGTTTTGGTTCGAAGGGTGGGGCAGCCGTTGTAACTATACTGAGACCTTAGAACTTATATCTCAAGGTGGGTGGCGTATTTACGCTGTAGATGTCTATGGGCTCCGGCAACCACTTAACACCAGGTGGGCTGTGAGCTCGTCCAACGATCTAAGCAATAAAAAAAAAAGATCGTTTACCCGCCACCTTGTATCTGCTTCTTAACGTGTTGTTTCTCTGTATAGTAAGAGTTTAAGTCGTTCGACAAGATCGCCTTGAGACGCCTGGCCTCCATGGCGGCGTATCCGTCGTTGGCGCCGGCCAGGGCTCCGTTGACGAGGGCCTCGCGTCGTAAGTCGCCGGTGCTGCTGTTGCAATCAGCTGACACGAAACTAGCGTTCACCAGCTCGTCACATACACGTTGTGTACTAAAAAAATTGATAAATAGCTTACATCTGAAGACATGAGTTGAACGAAGGTGTTATGTGCCTATAAACCGTATTAGACCTTAAAACTACGGATTTAAGGGCTATTTTAAGAAATTGCTTGTGATGAAGGAGTTATTTATGTACCTAGAAAAAGTACAAGTAACAAAAGTTTCTTGCCCGTTTTCACATAATTAATAAATTGTATCATATCCTCTTCATCCACTCGTGTCTTCATTCCTTTGCATGTGTATCGTAAAAAGTAATTTAGGGATTTTCCATAGAAGGAAATTGGGCAATGTCATTCTCAGCATATTATGTTCACCGTAATTCATACATTTTTGTTCTAAAATATGTATTTTAAGGTAAGGTCTTTCTAACTTACCTGTTATACATATCATACAAGTTTTTCAAATATTTTTCGACATCATTTTTGTCAGCTAGCTTAGTCTGTATATATTTCTGTAGTTTCAAATGGAAAATATTTAGTACAAATTTGCTCATCACTTGATCAGGATTGGGAAACACGTTACAAATAATATTATAATTTTTCTTACACAACGGCAGAACAGCTGAAAATATGTCTTTGCCTAAAAGAGCATTCTGAAAAAAAAAACATTGTTTTATTCAGTTTAGTTAATAAAATCTTATACTGGATATTTTATATTAGAAAATCAATTTACTACGCAATGTAAAGTAAACCCACCATTTGGCTGGTCTCAATGTATGCATCGATGCACTGAGAGTAGCCCTTGAAGTTGGTCATGATGTTAGCAATCTCTTTCATTTTAACCATATTCCCTTGATTTTGAGCTTTTCCAAATTCATCAATTAAAGTTCTTTCAATCTCGTCATATTTAGCTTCTATTTTCTTTTTGGCTATTTCAAATTTCTCTGGTGGCAGTTCTTGAGCTATTGTATGTAACTTTTGAATAACGTCTGCTGCTTCATTGAGCTGTAATCAAATAAAAGGATACTGCAATATTTAGTATACTTCTCTTGTATAATTTATACAGCAATACCTATTGTTTTATATTTTAATCTTGTTTTCACATTACTTCAAGGCTTAAAAAATTTAGTATTTATTTAGATAATATTTAATTTTAATTGCGAAGTTCAATACCTATTGCACAGGAAAAATTGACCGGAGCTTAATAATTGTAGATGGAATAGTTCTTTTCAACAAATATCACAATTAATAATTTCGTAGTTCTTGCTAAAGTCATGCACTGCATGCACAAAACGGTAGTTGCATAATGAAGAAGAACATATGTGCAATGTCATTGACCTTCGTTGTTAGTGACAATGTTACTGAATTAGGCTATCTATATTGGCATTAAAAAGATTAATATATTGACAGGAACTACCTTGTTGGGATCACTAAATAGATCCACTATAACTGGACCTGGGCTTAGGAAATGTGTTAAATGTGAAAGAAGGTCCCTTGCTGCTGCAGCTCTGGCTCTTGGTGCTCGTGCCGCTCCCAATTTTTCTCCTACATTTAGCGCACGTCCGCCACAACGAGACATACGTTCGTCCAATGAACTAAACACCCCCACACAATGCTGTAAGAAAATTAAGAATGTTGTACAATTATTATTATTATTTCTTTTTTACCTTTCACAATTCAAAGAAAAGCTATTTTATCATTGAACAAATGATTATATAAAAATATTTATTTTTGTTGCCCTTGTAGACAGACGAGCACACGGCCCACCTGAAGGTGAGTGGTTACCGTCGCCCATGGACTTCAGCAATGCCAGGGGCAGAGCCAAGCCGCTGCCTACCAACCTTTTAATAAACAGTTTTTAGTTGAATCTATTTTAATTAGCCATAAAATGTTTAGTAAATTATACATTTATAGTGTAGGATTTATAAGATCTTATTAAATAGAAAATAAAGTGGCATGATCATTGGAATACATCATTCAAAGCCATCAATATATGTGGTCCAGTAAAATGCAACAAGTAGTTTGATACGTTAACGAGGCGAGAAAAGTTACACTTCCTTATAAAAATCACAACATAAAATGATCATGCCTACAGTTCGAGAATTGTTACATTTCCTTATAAAAATCACAACATAAAATGATCATGCCTACAGTTCGAGAATTGTTACACTTCCTTATAAAAATCACAACATAAAATGATCATGCCTACAATTCGAGAATTGTTACACTTCCTTATAAAAATCACAACATAAAATGATCATGCCTACAGTTCAGACAAATGGATATCATGACTGCAGTAAGTAAATATGAAATTGAGTCAGTTATTCAGGAAATCAGGAATTATTAAGAAATCAGGAGTTATTCAGGAATATCTTGATGGAATACTTGATAGAATATAATCGACAGATTTAAAAATCCACTTAAAACCGTGAATAAACTTAAAATATACTTACTTACATACAACACAATAATTGTAAGCTGCTTAAAAATAGAGCTGCTTTATTAATTTAAGGAAACAACACCTTTACAGGTAAATTATACAAACAACATTTACAGTGTGGGATATGCAAATGACCTAGTGATTCTTATAACAAGCAATACTGTCAGTAGCCATCATAATCGATCTCGGAGGAGTTTGTCTGAGAATCATAATTTAGTTTTCAGTTTTTTTTTAGGGTTCAACACATGGTAAGTTGTAATATGACTAAGTACATACCAAGTGTTGATCCATAATTTCTGATAGCTTAGCACCATATAGTTTTTCTTCTTCCTGCACTGCCTGTTCCAGTCTAGCACATTTTCTTTCTTGCCTCTCTTGAAGAACCTGATAATAATTTAAATCAGATCGTAGAGATAAAAAACCTCATCCTTTTATTCTAAATAAGAATGCGCTAGTATTATTATCCATAAAAATAAAATTTAACAAGAGCTCGAAATTATAGCTCGTAACCAAATGCATATCGACGCTTGAAAGGCAAACGTGACTAAGCGACAATACGTGAACTTTACAGTAGACTAATTTAAAGTTGAAATACCTGAAATTTATTTTAATGAATCTAGTTGTAGTAGAATCTAGCTAGTAGCTGTAGGATTGAAATGATTTTAATAGACCTAGAAATATATATTTTTTTCGCATCGAATATGGTTATTGCCTGTCATTTATGCACACAGCAGTTATTGTTGCTTAGTCACGTTTGCCTTTCAAGCACCGATATGTATTTGGTGCCACTAAGAACAATTGAATAAATTTCTCTCCTACCACGAAACCAAGGATGCAAGTGATGAACCCTCCACAAGTAACCGGCACTCTCCCCAAAGTAGTTTGAGAAGTTAAGACTTTAGAATCATTTTTACTTAGCATTTTTTTAAATATTTTAACCTTATTAATTATTTGAGAAAATTAAAGAAGACAATTGAAATGGGCAATGTAAAGATTTATTTATATTTTTTTAAGAAAGTCTAGCCAAGAAACTATTAATTAGATATTTTTTTAAAAAGGCATTCATTAACACTATTCATATTATCTCTGAAAACATTTAATGATACAAAAAACAGACTTAAGTTAACTAACTTCAGCATCAATTGAATATTGAGGCAATTAAACATGGAATAAAAATTTAAACAATTAAAGTAACAAGCCCAAATATAATATACAAGAATTATTAAATTTAGATATAACTCCACAGAATCATCACAGAACTCACCTTTAAATCTTGTATGGCTTGTGTAAATATATCATGTATCATTTCGGGGTCGAACTGGTCATCTTTGAGGCGGGATTCCTGCATGCTACGTCGCACCATTCTCTCCACAAATTCATCAGGATCAAAAGGATCCTGAAAATAAAAAAATAAAAAGAAACTGATATCTACTGTCTACATAAATATTTATTTACACTGGTTTATAGATCAACAAATACGTACCTGTTCTAATTCTCTCATATATTGGTTCATCATCTTGAAATACAATTTTAATTTCACTACCGTTTTTTAAGGTTTTTACGCCAATTAGAAGTTTTTTGAAGTGTCTGGCCAAAACCTTACGAATACAAACACTTCGTTCATAGATTAAACACTTAATTGACTTCGTTGTTTAGTGTATTATCTATGCAAACGCCTACCATTGTACCATAGATTTTTTTTGGTTCAATTTCCTTATTAGGAAAGGCAAGGGGATCTAAGCCCATACTGCCTTATTTCTTCTATATAATTTCTGAAATAAATTTTCAAAAAAGCCGAAGCCAGGTCTTATATGATTTATATTATATCCTGAAATAAAAATTTCACTAAAGCCGAAGCCAAGTCCTTTATAATGTACCATAGATTATAAAATTAGTTGTACTAATATTAATTTGTGGTACCCGCAAAATGGGGTGATTCGGGACAAATTCCAACTTGATGAACAATTTTAAGGTAGTTCTTGATGTTTAAAATGGTATTTTATTATCAGTCGCATGCACTCTTAGCAGAGTGGTCGTGGTCATCACTTCGGGTGGTGGTGCGCTTCACCAGACGTCGCCATTCCTCACGTACCGCGGCCCTTCTTGTGCACTCGTTAACGGGACCGTTTAGAGCTGCCTTTATTTGGTCGGTCCATCATAACGGTGATCTGCCGCGCGGTCTTGTACCCTCTATCATGCCCTGCACCACAAGGCGCTCAACTGAGTCGTCACCCCGCCGCGACGCATGCCCGAAGAAAGTGAGAATGCGACCCTGAACGATGGAGGATAGTCGCTGCTTGATGCCGAGTTCCTGTAGAGTTAACTGATTCGTTCTGAACTCCGTCCACGATATTTGCAGCATTCTTCTCCAGCACCACATTTCGAGAGCATCTATCCTCTTTTTCTCACTTTCTCTCAATGTCCATGGACATTTTGTTGTACATGATAGTGCATGGACAACAAAAATAAAAATATATAACTAATACTTGATTACATTTAATTACTTATGATTAATATATATTTACTTGGGAAATTATCCGCGACAGATTTTTCTTGTAAGTTGTGAGACAATTAGAAAAAACATCTATTTCATCACTTAAAATTAGTTCAGCGCAATCGGACAACTCCGAATGAACATTGACGGAGACCGCGCTACCGTGGAGATTATTGTAGTCCTAAAGGATTCTGTTTAAGGGAGAGCAAGCACCTAAATTCGAACGAGCGGACTTTCTTATAAGCGGTTTATATTTCTTTGTTCTTAGTAAGTACTCAGGGGATGATATTTTTATCTGGGTTAAGAGATTAGGTGTGTCCGATATACCATGAATTAATCAGGTGGATACCCCCACTCTGAACAAATATTATTATATTTTATTATGTATTACTTACACATTTTTGTCCACCTTGAGATTTCATCGTTCTTGTTACATGTCTGTGCAAAACCAACTTACTTATGGTAAATTGCTTAGGTATTTCAATTAAAGGATTATTCCTAATCTCATAGGCTTCTCATACTGTTTTTAATAATAAGGGATCATATCTCTTATAAGGATTTGCACTCTTTGACACGGACACGCGAGGCATATCTAAAATTAGAAAACAACATGTAACTATTAATATAAATATTTCCCAAACAATAAAATAACACTGCATTGATAATTTTGAATAAAAGTTCTAGACAAAAACATTATGAATAAACCAGATTCCTACCAACAAATTAAAAAATATTGTTATAACTACATAGACAACCCTACAAACCTGTACCTATCTATACTTTGTTTCCATTTTACTTATTCTCATTCCAATTGACCCCTTTTTCGTTGTTATTTGTACCTGAGACGTCGCCAATATCCACAAAACCAACAGATTTTTACATGTATTTTAATTTTATCAAAAACATTAAATCCAATAACAACTGAGACTTACCTTTAATATATTATATGATGGTTCAAACACTAAATAACGTTTATAAATCACAGTCGTCTTCTATTATTATCATCTGTTAATAATTCTGATAATAATTTATTCAGAATCGTAGACGTGAGGTGATGGCTTGCTTATTAGATATAAAATAATTAATAATTGGGATTTTAATTGTTTTTATGATCGAACAGTCCCCCATAGTTATCGGACAAACGATAATTCATCGAAATTAATTAATTTGAGCAATAAAAATACAGATATCTAGTAAAGGAGGCCAACTTAAGGGTGATCATTTGTTTAATTAATTATAAATAAATAAAAGACGAACAAACAATTTTTACACACGAAGATTAACGAACAAATGACGAACAAATAATAAAAAATAATAAAAAATCGAAAATCAAAAAAAGGGGAGCCAAATTCAGTGAGCCATGAAATCGTATTGACTGAAGAAATGGCTACCCACTCAGTAAAATAGTTTAAATAGTCATAATTGACTATAATATGAACTTTTTGAAAGAAACTCCGCAGCGAAGTTCAGGGATTTTCTTCATTTTCGCACACTTGTGTAGGTACTTTTACAGATGTTAAACATTCATTAAGCCACAGTTATTACTCGTTTAAAACGGTAGAAATACTAAATTAACAAAATAAGCAATTCACAAGAATTCGTTACTCGCGATACTACGTCATACTCTTGTTATGGTGGTGATTACAACAATCTACAATCCTAAGCTTACTGTACCGTTTATATAAACAAGCTGACCCGGCAGAGTTCGTAGTGCCTCAATCGTTAAAAAAAGATGAATCCGTCCGACGGGGACACATCAAACGGAAAACTAAATTGTTATTTATATTTAATTCCTAGCATTTTGATATTTATCTACCGTTTAAGCCTTCTCTGGACTTCCACAAATAATTCGAGACCAAAATTAGCCAAATCGGTCCAGCCCTTCTCGAGTTTTAGCGAGACCAACGAACAGCAATTCATTTTTATATAGGTAATATAGATAGATGAGGTTTGTGAGGAAAGGAATTTTATTTAGCGCAGCTGTTTTAACATGATCACAATATTTGTGGTAATTTTGTAATGTCATAGATTAAATTTGTATTGGTTTCAAATAATAAATAGAAGGCATTTAGCCTTTTCGCAAGATTTGTAACTAAGCGTTACCGAAGTGTGTAACGAAATATTTGCTTTTAAAGATGAAAGTATAAAGGAAATTCAATAAAAATAAGATGAAATGAAATGTTGAACTATTCAGAACTACTGAGAACGTTATAAAACTCGCACTAAGCATACATACAAACATTCGTGTGATAACTTATGCCGGTCACTCACATGCGCGCGAACATTCGTACATTGCACGAATGTTCGCGCGCATGTGAAGGGCTGTCAGACATTCATTCGTAAAAGTAGCGGCTGTGCAAATGGGCTCGGTACTCAATTTGCGAACCCGTTTGCACTTCCTCCTAAACTTATTTACGAATGTCTCACGACTTTCTCTTCTGTTTTAATTCGTCAATAGAACATTGAAGAGAAAAAGAGTTTTTAATTATTTCCCAGGCGTCATTAACGGTCTGTTGTCATGGGATTTCTTTTGAGGGTCCCATATGGTCCATTCATTTTGCAGGAGTTCCATGAATAATGAAGGTACGCTACACAGTAGACGTCACGAACTATGAAAAGGGCGAAACGTCCGTTACCTTCGCAATCGTGGGCGCAACTGGTCACACGTATGTGTGGGAGACTACGCGAAGGATCGCGGTTCGCGCGCTTTGATGTCCGTTAAAAAAGGAAAACCACGAATGCAGCGGAAGCTTTGCATAATCATTTGCAAATGTCGTCCTACACTTGTGGGTTTGCGTATTCGTGCGAATGTGAGTGACCAGTATTAAACGTAGGTAATGTATAGAAATGAAATAACCGGAAATAAGTCACGCACGGTCATCCGGTCTCAATTTGGGTTCCCTGTACTATTGGAACCAGAGACTGATACACGTTTTTTAACCCAATATCTACAAATATTAATAATTATAACCGAGACGAGGACCAAGTAAACCTGTTCATCACACGAATGTTTTCCCGATGCGGGAACGAACCGACGACCCTCGGCGTAACAGTCAGGGGCGCGTACTAGTCCCCACCACCGACTCAGTCAATTTTATGTATTGTTAACGTTATAAGTGTATACTAAAATCTAAGTATGGGTATTGTGTATGTTTCTGGTTCCCATGTTACATTGGTCTGTGTTCGTTTGTGATTATAATTATTAAAAAGATTTAAAAAATAAAGCCAATAAGTCGTGCACGAGATAAAAATGGATTATGAAACTTTCTCAAATTTTCATGCCATACAAATACTTTTTAGTTTTTCAAATTTAAAAACAAAAGATAAAGTCATAAATGTAGCAGAAACGTCTTTTCGGAAGATTTTATGTAGTGAATGCGTTTTTTATGTCCAAATTCTTTGTGATGTCGTAATATTTAACAAATTTTCGTGCTTACTGTGGACAAAACAGTTTTATAAATAACGTTTCCTCTCTTTATGAGAGCCGCGTACAAAAGTAGAATTTATAATAATTTTGACAGTAGAGATATCTGAAACGTTGGTCATAAGTGAGTAGTGAAATGTCCAATGTATCGTAAACGGGTAAGGATAAAGACGATAGAGCTCAATGGCTGATCGCCTCAGCCCTCGAAGTTCAGAAGTAAACGCCTTGGAACAACGAGGCTATCTCATCGGCAAGAAAATCGGACAAGGCTCGTACGCCACGGTTCACTTGGCGGAGTACTGCGATGGCTCCAGCCCGAAGCGGATGCACCTCGCTTGTAAAATATTCGACAAAGAGAAAGCGCCGCGTGATTTTTTAGAAAAGTTTTTCCCTCGTGAGCTAGAAATTTTAACTAAAATCGAAAACCCACATATTATTCAGGTACACAGTATCCTGCAGAGAGGACCTAGAGTATTTATATTTATGAGATATGCTGATAACGGTGATCTATTGGATTTCATAAAAAGAAACGGAGTCGTGCCAGAAAACCAGGCTAAGCTATGGTTCAGACAGATGGCAAGCGGCTTGCAATACCTTCATAGTAAGAACATCGCTCATCGTGACCTTAAATGCGAAAACATATTGTTATCACGACGTTTTAATGTCAAGCTAGCGGATTTCGGATTCGCCAGATTTTGTACCGATGGCGAAAATCGTCGAGTCCTCAGCCAAACGTATTGTGGTTCAGCAGCATATGCTGCACCGGAAGTCGTTAGTGGGACCCCATACAATCCTAAATTAGCTGATGTTTGGTCTCTCGGGATTATATTATTTATAATGCTGAATGGCTCTATGCCTTTTGATGACACGAACCTGCGTAAACTTTTGAAAGATCAAATGTCACGTAATTGGGTTTTTAGATCTAGGATCCGAGATTCAGTATCGCCAGCAGCCAAGTCGATCGTTCGTCATATCCTCGAACCCGATATTACATTGCGATTGACACTTGACCGTGTACTCTCCCATGAATGGACAAGACCTAGGAAAGATAAAAGTGCGAGCTTGATGGGGCGACTAGTACAGTCTGCTCCATCAGCGCCACATTCGCCCGGCAAGCGTGATCACGATGAGGCAGGCACTTCAGCCGGTGTGCGAGTCTCCGGTGACCATCGGGAGACAGAGAGAGAGCGCCATGACGACATCAACATGCGCTCTCGCGATTAAAAGTGGACAAGTATACAATCATTTTTTAATTTGGACAACAAACTTAGAAATTTTTTATACATATATATTTTACAAATGACGACTTAACTGTTGTTAGTCGGCAGTAGAAATAAATTTTATAATAAAGAAGACAACTTGTTTGATTTAGTAAACTTAAAGATCGAGTGGTAGTATGTTAAATTATTTTAATCTCGTTTTGTAGTTTGAACTCGATGGTCACCGTGCCTGTAATTATTTTCATGAGTAGATGGTAAATGTTAAAATGTAAATAATCGTTAGGACGGATAGCGATTTGTCAAAATATTAATAAATATATCGTTTTGTGGCCATCACCATCATCTGTTAAAATAATTTAAGAATTAAAAAAAGGAGTTAAGTCGATCCAGCAGTTCCCAGGTGATGCGCTTAGCAACGAATAGCGCTTCATTTTTATTTATACAATATGGTGATATTCTCACCTTTAGAGATTTTGTTTTATTGCTTAGTTGGGTGGACGAGATTACAGCCCACCTGGTGTTAAGTGGTTACTGGAGCCCATAGACATCTACAACGTAAATGCGCCACCCACCTTGAGATATTTTCTAAGGTCTAAGTATAGTTACAACGGCTGCCCACCCTTCAAACCGAAACGCATTACTGCTTCACGGCAGAAATAGGCGGGGTGGTGGTACCCACCCGTGCGGACTCACAAGAGGTCTTACCACCGGTTCTATGCGGTTTATGTCCAAAGACAACTGACCACATTAAAAATATTTTACGTGATTGCCAAAACCCACCGTTTGATGCGAGGTCGAGCTCTAAAGTATCGCATTAGACAAAGGGTGTCCTGCCATCAGACACCGTAACTCACTACTGCAGCACTTCGCAGTATGTTCAGACATGGTGTTAAATATACAATTAAAATTTAATATTTTAACATACTTTATACATATTCTCTCTCCAGTGTCTTTTTTTTATAGATAGATCAAAGAGATGTTTTTTGGTCAATATCAAGATTGCAATTGGCGCGATATTGCTTGTATCAGTCGAATCCACAGATTTTAATAGTCGATTTATAGGACAGATTTCTGAAGTTGTAAGCCAGCTGATTCAACCGACGCCGCAAAGTATCAATTTACAGGGCTTCTACAAGAAAACATATCGCAACATCCCTGAGCATTGGAGAGACAAAAATTCAAGGATTCGGTACTCAGAAAAATCGTTGTCGGAAAATACGAAGAGGTAGGAACCTGCTCGCGAGTATCCACCGTAGTTTGTGTGATTTTTATAAATAAAATTATAACTCAAATTAGAATTATTTATTAGTTTATTATAATATTCATGTTGGTAAGAAAAGTATTTGCAGACGTAGTCTGTAGTTTTTGTTTGTTAATCATCATTGAATAACCAATGATTCCTATAGGTATGTCTAGGAAGGGAAACTTGACTTGGAACATGATGGTCAAATTGGGTGCGTCGTATGTTATGTTGACTCTCGATACAGGACTTATGTACTCAACTCTGAGATATGTAAACTGTTGCTCCGCATCTGCTCTTGAAGGCTACGAAATAGTTTTAAAATTAGAATAAAAATTAACCTAAAAATGCATTTTTGCACAGAAGTCCATATCGGCTGAAAGGGTGGGACAGCCGTTGTACAGTACAATTGAGACTTGGACCTTAGTGATCGGGGCTGGTGGAGTTCCAGTAACAATTTAACACCAAGGACGTGTGAGCTACACACGTCCTTCATTTCAATCGTTGAAACGCCATCATAAACGCTACAAACATACCTATATATTATAATAGCATCTAGTAAGTATTAAATGTTTATAAAAAGACATTTACAATTCTTACCGCAACATTAAGGTAGTAGTGCGGAGTAAAAGCAGGTATGACTCCATTGTATGAATATGATATTTCTTCTCCACTTACGTGCTTACCTTGAATAGTAGAAGAAAATTCTAAAAAGTACTTAGAGCTTCCCTCAAGGCCGTATGGTACTTACATAGCAATAAATAATTAAACTACTGCTTCCGCAAAACTCTAGAGGTGAACTCGGTGAACTAAATCCTGTGCAATAGGTGCTGAGCACGATTTCATTGTTAGTTATTCGTATAATGTTAAAATTTTGTTATAATTAAATTCCTTTCTCTGTCGGATCTGCACTCCGGTTCCTAAGCTTTTCAATCTCGGTACTGTTGCAACCTATTAGATAAAACGCAACTCCATCTAATGATTAAGTCCGTAATAATGATTAATCCTCCATCTAATGATTAAGTAAATAACCGAATTTAGAATGCCATAATTCGGATCTCAGAGATCACTTAAAACTTCTGGATTTACGTAGGAGCGGTATTTCGTTTTGTTAATTATCTTGTCGAAGTGTTTTTTTTCTTTCCCTACCTAATCGTTGGTAGCCTAAGGGGCTATTCCAACTTCACGCGGACTGGTAGGTGAGCTCACGGGCTCAACCTGAGAGAATTGCTAACACTAGCCCTAGCAAGAGCAGTGCTTCGCTGAATCTACTACCGGATCGGAATCGCGACCCACTGAGAAGATCCAGCGAGTAACTCAGTGGGTGTAACCCTGGAATGAACTTCTCTACTACTAAAATTTACTATGAACAGCTTTATTATCCTCACAGAATAACTGTTTTACCCTGTGAGCGTATATACCTCTAAGTTCAAAACCCAAGACTTACATCTTGTGACACATATCAAGATGAGTGTTCATCCGTGATATGTCCAACCAATTCGAAAAAAAAAAAGGTTTGTAGTTTAATTGCACCCATAAATTTTCAAGAATACATATTTGTACTCGTCGATATCAGAGTACTGTACAGGTACTTAGTACAGCCCCAATCATAAGTGCAAAGGGTTTACATAACCATTACTCCATTTTATTTGAAACTTCAATTTCTTGTCTTTTTTTGAGCGTCCCCATTTTATCAATGATCCCTCCAGCCATGAACTTAGACTCTACACGCTATGCCATTAAAAATTGAGGTGCAATAGCGGATAATGAGTCACAGGCAATTATTTATTAATCAAATAGGGTACATCTTTATGTAGTAGTAGTAGTAATTTGTAGTCGTCGTGGCCTAAAGAATAAGACGTCTGGTGATTCGTGTTGAGCGATGCACCACTGATCGAATCCCAGGCGGGTACCAATTTTTCTAATGAAATACGTACTCTACAAATGTTCACGATTGACTTCCACGGTCAAGGAATAACATAGTGTAATAAAAATCAAACCCGCAAAATTATGATTTGCGTAATAACTGGTGGTAGGACCTCTTATGAGTCCGTGCGGGTAGGTACCACCACCTTTTTTTATTTATTGCTTAGATGGGTGGGCGAGCTCACAGACCAACTAGTGTTAAGTTACTGGAGCCCATAGCATCTAAGCAAAAAAAAGTAGTTATAGTATCACGTATTAATCGAGATAAATAATTATTAGCCACATGTAGGTAAACAAAAAATATAGGTACTTACCGAATTCAGAATACATAATTTTCCTAGTTGGATCTACAGTATTCATTTCTGAACGAAAACAGTAACAAAATATATTTGTTAACGAAACAAAAAACGATATAAATTTCAAAACTTCCATAATTACAGTTATACCTACAGAACCGATTATGTTTTATGTTCTGTTCTTGTGAATGCTAATTTGTTTTAACGGCTTTTACATTAATTAAATACAAGGTAATATTGAAGATTGTGATGGTTCAAGGATATGTATGTTTCGCTTTTTATTTGGCTTTTTATTTATATATTATTTATTACATTTAATGGGAGTTTAAAAAAATCACATGTAGATTATTTAACGTTTTTATTTATTTATTTACTACATAAACGGGCAAACGAGCTAAATTCTTTTGTGTAACGGTGGAACGCCGTCTTCTGAGTCCGCACGGGCAGTTGCCACCATCCCACCCATTTCTGCCGTGAAGCAGTAATGCGTTCCGGTTTGAAAGGTGTGAAAACCAAGTACTGCAGAACTAAGACCTCGAGCTCATATTTCGAAATGCGTGGCGACATTCGCCTTGCGATGTAAATGATGATGAAGTAGCACACACTTAACATATGATGGGCAATGAGCGTGTTCAACAATTTCTATAATCAGTAAAATATCTTTCTAATAATACAAAAAAGTATTTCTAATAATTATCTATTGAATTTATTCTAATAACGGTTTGCTGAACCGGAATGTTTGTTGCCTGGAAATAGGCAGAGCTAGCAGAATCATGCTAGTCACGCGACCACAGAAGGGGTGTTAGGTAAATAGTAAGAGTGTGCAGGGATAGCACTACGGGAAGATGATGTAGCAGCAATTCGAAGGGATGCTAATTCGAAGAGTCTACAGGGTCTACTACACAATCTTCGGTGATTGAGCTTAATCTTGAGCTTAGATTACTTTACTATGAACAATCTGTTAGTTTCAATCAACAGAAACGATCAATAAGCTAGGAATGACATTTTTCTGTGTGCACTGGTGACGCGGATACAGTAAAAATAAAAGACGTTCAATTACTATTACAATAATAAGTCTAATTTTCATTCATACTTTTAATTACATAATTACAAACCTTTTTTTATTTTTATTACAAACTTATATCACATGATCGACAGGCCTTAACAACTACTTCGTATGATGATGGTAATATGTTCTGCAGAAACCCGTATTTTATAATAATACTACGGTGAGTTGAATCCAAATCCACTTTCGGCGGTGATAGCGCTGTAACCACAACTTTTATATAGCAAAGATTCATATCCGAAAAGACCTGAAAAAAAATTTATTAAATTTATTTATTTGTTTATTTATTTAGTCTTCTTACAAATTAACAGTATACATAACAATTACAAAACACAACAATTTCGTCGATGGTTTTTAAGTATTGTGTAACGGACGTGACGTCAGCTGTCATGCCCAGCCGCCAACCAAGCCGCCAAGCCATATTAACACGCCCCCTTCGGCCACCGCCACCGCCGCCGCCGCCGGCCAAAGCCAACGAAGGGGGGATAGTGTTAACAAAGTAAGCCGTGCCAGCCATTTCTACCTGCTTTCTGCATTCTCGCACAAATAAAAGAACTTGTCGTTACGCTGCTGGTTTTTATTGTCACATCATTTGCAACAATTGATAACGAAGCCAAGTGGCAGAGCTGGTGATTCCTAATATGACAACGTAAAAAAATCCATTGAAAACTTATTGATAATAATACTTTTTGTACTACAGGAAATCTGACACAAATAAAATTCTCTGATGCGTGGATCTAATTTATGTATTCGTCTATTCGACTACCTTCAATATTAAGTGTATTATTTATGGCTACTTAATTACTTAAAACGATAAACTGATATAATAGGTTGGGGAAAAAGTCTTTTCGCATTAAAGTATGTATGAACTTGTAATAAAATCTCTTTATACTATTTGTATATAGCTGGTTTTGGTATTGTTAAAAGTTTAAATTTTAAAGAAGATAATTCCAAATTCTAATTAGGAAAATGTGTGATTTTTATATATTTTTGGTACTGTTCAAAGAAATTCGAACATTTGAAAATTTTACTACAAAAAAAGAAAAAATGCAACGCAAGCCGCGTAAAAAATTTGCGATGTTTATGGACCTAGTGCAGTGTCTGTGAGAGTAGCACAAATTTGGTTTAAGCGTTTTCAATCCGGAAGTTTTGATGTCAAAGAAGCACATCGCTCTGGTCGCCCTATTACGGATAAAATGGATGCCATTTTTGAAAAAGTGGAGCAAGATCGGCTTATCAGTAGTTACGACGTAGCTGAAGAACTATAGCCCAAGAGCCCACGACAGCCAGACCTGCGTTATTTTATAAAAGCTGAAAGTTTCCCTGTGTATGTCTCCAATACAGGTAAGAACGACCCGCGATTATAGAGTTCCGATTGTGGTTCCTTGGGCAGGTAACAGGCAGTAAAGGTATTTAAAATAGTACCTTAAATTCGTTAAAGTATAAAGTTATTTTATTTATTATTTACTCCAGAATATCTTTAGAAATCGCGATATCCATTGCCGGACACTTTTTATAGTTCCTACCCCTTGCCGGACACCCCTAAACTTTAATAAATTTTAATTATACTTTCGTTATACTATAAAAGCTGAATTTTATATATGTTACTTAGGGACTTCGCGGGATCTTGCTCTACTAGAAATTGACCATAAAACAGTTTTGGCGCATAAAAAAGGGTACACAAAAAAACTCGATATTTGGGTACCTCACGAGCTCACTGAAAGAAACTTAATGAACCGTGTAATGAAACCGAATCATTTTTGAAGAACCTGATAACTGGTGACCAAAATTGGATCACGTACGACAAGAACGTGCGAAAAAGGTCGTGGTCAAAGGCCGGTCAGGCTTCACAGACTGTGACAAAACCGGCAACGAGGTGATGCTGTGTGTGTGGTGGGATTGGAAGGGCACTGTTCATTATGTGCTGTTACCACCAGGCAGGACCATCGATTCTCAACTCTACTGCGAATAACTGATGAGATTAAAGCAAGAAGTTGAGAGAAAGTGGCCGGAATTAATCAACAGAAGCGGTTGTGGTTTTTCATCATGATAACGCCAGACCTCACACACCTTTAGCCACTCAGCAAAAATTAAGAGAGCTTGGCTGGGAGGTGTTAATGCATCCGCGCCGTATAGTCCTGACCTTGCATCTTCAGATTTCCACCTTTTCGGTCTCTTCAGAATTCTTTAGGCGGTGTCATGTTAACATCACGAGAGGACGCCCAAAACCAAAAGTCGCGGTATTTTGATCAGAAGCCCCAAAATTTCTATAGCAATGGGATCATGTCCCTACCTACAAGATGGCAAAAAGTTATCGAACAAAATGGTACCTACATACTTTAGTTATATATATGTAAATAAACTATATTAAAAAATGTGAAGAAACTTTTCCCCCTACCTATTATGTCCTATAAAATTTCTTAACTTCGAAAATTGACATTGTTTTCCATTTATGCTGATCGGTAAATTTTAGAAGGTGTAGTGTTAGACGTCCAACCAAATAATTGTATATTTAAATAACGAAGTAATGAAAAATGAAATGGTTTGTATAAACAACGAATTTAAAAAAAAACCAAGTGAACTTATGCGTGTATTTTTCGTTGTATAGACAATTTTACTCATTATGGTTTCAAAAATTAAAATAAATGAATTTGAAAAATTCCCTAATATATGAAAAATACCCTAATTTTTATTGTTAGAGGTTACCTTTTCGGTCATTATGGTATCTTAATCGTTTTATCCATTATAATACCACACGCTTATGTTCACTCGATTTTTTTTGAATTCGTTATTGATACAAATCATTTCATTTTTCATTGAAAATTGAAATACATATTTCACAAACAGTAAAGTTAACGCAATACTATTCGTATTGTGTTAGAATAGTTCAACATTAAGTATTTCTCGTTAGCAGATTTTCAATATATCGCGATTTCTCTTAACTAAAAGCAGTTTGTTAAGTTTCAGAGACCCTTTTAACCAATGTACTTACGGGGATATGTATGTTTTTGATGCGTTCTAAAATTTTAATTTTACCATTCGTAACAAAAACTGTCTGACCATAATCACGACCTGAAAAAATAATCCTAGTTAAAAAAAACTCATTGTCTTTACCTATGGACGTTCCTTAGTTTCTTTAAGATTTAATAAATACTCGTATTTAAATGAGGTTTGAGAAGAATCTCAGAGGCTTTGTTTCTAGTATTACTGATATCCAAACGGGAGGAATATGATCACTCATCAGCCGATAAAGCGTATAGTTGTGATCCAAGTCAAACAAACTTATTAACATGGTATTTCTGTAGTTGTTTTGTGTCTTAAAGGTCTAAATCATATTTGAATTCATATTATGAATTAATTGAAGTTGGCGGAAAACTAGCTGCCCCACTCTTAAAATCGGATTTTTTTTATTGCTTACCTGGGTGTACTAGTTCACAGCCCACCTGGTGTTAAGTGGTTACTGGAGCCTATAGACATCTACAACGTAAATGCGCCCCCCACCTTGAAATATAAGTTCTAAGGTCTCAGTATAGTCACAACGGCTGCCCCGCCCTTCAAACCGAAACGCGTTACTGCTTCACGGCAGAAATAGGCAGGGTGGTGGTACCTACCCGTGCGGATTCACAAGAGATCCTACTACCACACCACAGAATTGATTACTATTCGGAGCAGAAATAGGCACGATGAGAGTACCTACCCGGGCTACCTAGTAGCGCGGCATTAGATACGCTCTCCCTCTGGTAAAATCAGGTTGGCAACCATAGTACGATTGTATAAAACTCAGAGAACTCTGCTGTCCATTATATAGTCGATACAAGCTTTATTTTCTAAATTCTTTAACACGTTTGACCTTTTTAAAAATATAATTTGAAGGCGTTATTTACATAATTTCTTACAAAATTTTACACTTTTTTCACACTGGTATCCCACATTATCTTGAATTCCCTATTTCTTAATTTCACTTACCAAATGTATAGACGTGTTCTGTCAGGGCGTTAGTTTGCGACAGAAAATAAAATAGGCCTATTAAAATTACAGTTTTCATTTTGTACTTGAACAAAATCTCTAATGACCGGACTTATGATTATTCTGTTAGTTTTATATTAAATTGTCCAATTAAAAGAAAAAAAATCGTTACAAATTAAACGCGTGTCTAAAGTAAGTGTGAAATGTTAGTTACTTTTCCTTTAGATTATAATTGCGTTGTTTTAAATCAAATTAAATAGTGGTAGGTACCACTGTTAATAATTATTTTTATGCATAGATGATTAAACGAGCGGTTAATGGGGATCTCACAACATGAATGCCGCCACCCACCTTGTGACTTAAGGTATTCAACGCCTGCCCCATCCTTCACATCGGAACGCATTACAACTTCCCGTCAGAAATAAGCAGTAGGTACCAACCTAGCAGTACTGGCTCTACTTATTCGCTAGTACCCCAAGGCGCTACGATACGCTTGGAAAGGTAGGTGAGGTCACGGACTTAATCTGGGAGAATTGGCTCCTACACTAGCCCTAGCAAGAGCAGTGTTTCGCAGAATCTACGACTAGTTCGGAATCACTAACTACTGAGAAGATCCAGCGAGAAACTCAGTGGGTTGTGTCTATGGGTTGCGGGCTCTCAAGACGTCCTAGCGCCAGTAATTACGCAAATTATAATTTTTGCGGGTTTGATATTTATTACACGATGCTATTACTTCACCGTGGAAGTCATTCGTGAACATTTGCTAAGTAAGTATTTCATTAGAAAAATGGGTACCTGAATCCCGCAGGGATTCGAACATCGGCTCAGTCGCATCGCACCACACGCATGTATCTACCGGGCGTCTTATCCCTTAGGCCACGATGACTAATGTAAATATGTCTAATCTAAAACGAGATAGTCCGTAAACGCGTTCGTCTAGATTTTCGAGTCTAGATCAAAAAACTGATACCCGAAAAACTATATTCGAGGGTATTTTACTGAGAATCGGTTTTTCTAAAAATAAACCATAATCTATCTCTGGAAACTGTTTGTTAAAATTGAAATAAAAGTAGCTTTAATCTCAAAACGAAATGATTAAGGTTAATGCTTGAGAATAATGTTTGTTTATGGCACAGTATCAGATTTGTTTTCATCCAGTGCTTTGACTTCATCGGCGAGTTGCTTTAGTTGTTCTATGTTAAAGAAAAGTTCGGCATGGTACATTGCTGCAGTTTCGACTTCTATTTCCGCTGATGTAACTGAAATAATTTTTACTAACAATTAGCGTGTGACAGAATTAAATTATACCAAATGAATGAATCATAATGGACAACAATACTTAAATAGTTCGTATCCAAGAAAAGAAATACTATTAAAATTATATTAGGTCTATTTTACTTTTGAGGTATTTTGATTGATTTGATTAGAAAAATACTATTAAGAAACTATAAAAAACATTATGTAATATTAAATAAAATGTGTAATAAATATTAAATGTGAATGAGCAAGTTTCTTACTTTTACTCAAAAATAAAAATAATTTCTTCTACACTACACTAGACACCAAATAATAGGTATATAGTATTTTTACAAACTAACGTCTTAAGTTCTTCAACATTTCAACGCTCTTCTTTAATTTTGCCATATCGTTATCAATTTCATCGTGCAATACATTATAGAAGTCGGAAGCATTGACATCCAAATCTTCCAATATCGTTATTTCCATGTTAAAATATGGGTTTTTGGTATGCTTGTAACACAATCTTAAATATAAATTTAATGTTATCCTATTGTACATTAACTATTAAATGTTAATTAGTTGTATATCTTACCCACGTAAGTGATTTGAAAATTACTGTTTCGCGCCATTTTTAAGACAGATAATGTACCGTAAAATGGGGCGATTAGGGATTGAGAGGCGAATCGGGAAAAACCGGGAAAATCTTTCGACGCTCAATATTAGTTTTATATTTGTTGCAAAATCTTCCATTTTTTGTAGTTTAATAGTAGAATGTTGAAAGTTTACAAAACAACTCTGAATATACATGATAATAACTGCTAACTTATAAAAAATCGCCATTCAAATTAACTTCCTGTGGCGGTAATTATTTTAGTGCTAGAAACTTTGCTCTCTTTTATTTATTTGATAATAATAGAAGACTACTGTGATTTATAAACGTTATTTAGTGTTTGAACCATCATATATATTAAAGGTAAGTCTCAGTTGTTATTGGTTTTAATGTATTTGATAAAATAAAAATACATGTAAAAATCTGTTGTTTTTGGGGATATTGGGGACGTCTTAGGTACAAATAACAACGAAAAAGGGGTCAATTGGGATGAGAATACGTGAAAAGGAAACGACCTAAGTATAAATAGGTACAGGTTTGTAGGGTTGTCTATGTAGTTATAACAATATTTTTTAAATTTGTTGGTAAAAATCTGGTTTATTCATGATGTTTTTGTCTAGAACTTTTATTCAAAATTATCAATGTGTTATTTTATTGTTTGGTAAATATTTATATTATCAGTTACGTATTGTTTTCTATTTTTAGATATGCCTTCAAAATTATCAATGTGTTATTTTATTGTTTGGTAAATATTTATATTATCAGTTACGTATTGTTTTCTATTTTTAGATATGCCTCGCCTGTACGATCAAAGAGTGCGAATTTAGGTGCTTACTCTCCCATATACAGAATCCTTTGGGACTACAATAATGTCCACGGTAGCGTGGTCTCCGTCAATGTTCATTCGGAGTTGTCCAATTGCGCTGAACTAATTTTAAATGATGAAATAGATGTTTTTTTTAATTGTCTCACAACTTACAGAACAAATCTGTCGCGGATCATTTCCCAAGTAAATGTAAATTAATCATAAGTAAATAAATGTAATCAAGTTTTAGTTATATATATACATATTTGTTGTTAATACGCTGGCGATCATCTGCCATGTACTTTTGTCAGTTTTGTTGGTGCAACTAAATAAATAAATAAATCAAAACCAAGTAGTGCCAACCCTAGCAAATTTCTCATTTCGTCCCAATTAACCGCAATTTCCGGGTAAATAGGGATTACACTTATTTTTGATTTTTTTGCTTAAACTGGAATGCTAGCTGCGTAGTTTTAAATTGGACAACAAAGATGCCCCCAAGACTCAATCATTTTGATCCTGATATAGCATTATATACATCAACAACTACCTTAAAATTGGTCATAAAGTTGGAATTTGTCCCTAATCGCCCCATTTTACCGGTACAGGCTGCTCGGCAACTCTGTGTTGGAAGGTCGTGATACTGTCCACGTATAATTGTCTAGGATGTACCATGACATGGGGTAAATTGGGATCCTGGGGTAAATTGTGACAAACCTGCGGAATATTCTCAAAGTACCTGTAGCACGGAATCTACCTAATTTTGTTTATGTTAATATTTATCAATGTATAGAAGAAAAACCAAGTTAACTATAGAAGTACTAAATATGAGTTAAGTTGGTCCCAAAAATTCGTCAAATTAAATTGAAAATAGTGGTTGAAAAGTGCGTTTTAAAACAGCTTAAAGAACTTTAAAAAAAAGTAATATTATCGTTGTTTTTTCAATAAGATCACAGTTTATATAAGTTTTTAATACACCTGGAAATACCACAACAAACGGTAAGTTGCAATATTCTTATTCTAAATACAATATTTGGACAAAATAAAAAATATATTTTTTTTTCCTTTCTTTTTGGGGAAAATTGGGACGTATGTGGGGTAATTTGGAACGAGACTGGAAAAATTAGGGACGAGAAAACACAAAATTGGAACGCCAAAAGACAAAATAGGGATGACTTGTTAGGGTTGTCACTGATATCTTATAATAGATTTTTTAGCCTATACTATCCCTCAATTGCGTGATGTAAAGAAGGTTAATGTGTTTATCAGTTAGTTTATGTAAGTACTATAGGTAAAAGAAAAGTATATATATAATTACATTTTTTCGCGACATTTACCTTGTAATATCTGCGCGGTCGTATATCCTTTATAGCAATAAAATAAAATTAAAAATTAAAAAGAACTCAAACGAATAAAAACTGTTGTTATTTCAGAATCTATTGACGCGTCGAATCATGATTTTTTTAACATTCACAACGCACACACAAATAAAAACAGGCCTCAGATTTTAAATGTAACATTAATTAAAAATCCGAGATGTCTAGGTTCCAATTATGAGTGAGTGAATTAATTGAGTTTAGTTATTTATCTTAGAAAGAATTTCTTTTATTTTTGTTATTATAGGCAGTAATCAGATAAATCTGCTTTTTTATCTTATTCACCCGATATCTTACTCTTGCTCAAAGATTATTTTGAAAATGTTGATTAAATAAAATTGTATTATTGCATTTCCAGTCCTTTTGTTTTCTAGTTTTTATTCTATTTTATGATTTTGTTTCAGAGTTGTGATTTTTAAGGAAATTAAATAATAATTTTCTAAAATATAACATGCACATACTTTTTTTGATCATTGTATTGTTGATTATCATTCACGTCACATCGCTTCGGAATAGAAACCAGCTTAATTTACACTATGTTGTGTATTGTGCTTAAATTATGGATTGTATTCATCANCTAAAATATAACATGCACATACTTTTTTTGATCATTGTATTGTTGATTATCATTCACGTCACATCGCTTCGGAATAGAAACCAGCTTAATTTACACTATGTTGTGTATTGTGCTTAAATTATGGATTGTATTCATCATTTCGGTCCATATAAATAATTGTATGGCACCTACCTACCTACCTATATATCGCAGTACCGCGAACTGACGACCCTTACAAATATCCCAATTTGACCCTTACCCGTGTCAATTTACCCCGAATGCGGGGTAAATTGGGATGGCCATTATTTTTCCGATTATTTCTTTAAATTGAATAATTAAAATAATGTAACGGTTTTTATCACCTAGGTACGTTCAAGACTCAACTTATTTTTTTGGTTGAGCAGTGACTATTTAATTGGAACTATTTTAAAATTCAGTCTGAAGTTCGATTTTGTCCCTATTTACTCCATTTTACGGTACTGCATTTGAATTTGAATTATATTCTTTTACTTTTGATGTGCGGTGTCATTCTGAATTATATTTTCTCATATACAAGTAAAAACAATATTTTCAACTATTATTTACGTTTATAATTAATTTCTATAGCCGCTAGTCCACCCTATCACTCTGCCCTATTATGTATCTATTATTATTGATTGATATAATACTGTTCTCTAGTTAGTTCTATAGTTAATCTTTAAGAGATAAGCTATTAATAGGTATGTAGTACAATACGCTATTAATAGGTATGATATAGAGATAATCTAATAATAGGTATGTAGTATAATAGGCATTAATAGGAATGTAGTGCAATAAATTATTTTGTTTTATTTTTGGGTTATATCATTACATAGTGTGTACATACAACAAAATACTGTATTGTTTATCATATAGTCTTGTTTTATGAGGAATTAATTGAAATTTGACAATTATTATGCTTACATTAGCAATGGGAAAATGTTAATAAAATAAAACAATGGAATCATTCGAGAAATTATATGATTGTTTCGTTTAATCAACAACACTCAGTCAAATAGATGACATTAATCAAAGAAGTTCGAATTTTCTCACATAATTAGCTTAAGCATTACAAAAATTGCGTAACAACTGGGGCCATCGCGTCAAGTAAATCAGATGATATGTTGTGGTTACAGTATTGATACGTAGTTATCACCGCATTTCCGAGGTATCTTCCAGTAGGATCTTGACGTACTACGTGTAGGTAGTCATCACCGAGAGTGAAATGAGCCTGTGGTGGCGAAACCCAATCACAAACTGTTGCTACCGCTTTATTAACTGTTGCAGGGTTAATACAGTACATCTGAAAATGTAAGCTAAATATTAAATACAGGTTCCTCAATCTAAAGAAAAGTGCTTAAAGTTCATGGGAATTTTTTATTGCTCTTGGTTGAAAGATAGCCTTATCTACTAGGTAAATACCACCACATAACTTTTCGCGAAGCAGTAATGCATTTCGGTTTAAAGGATAGTCTAGCCTATATATTATAATACAATCAAGACTTCGGCAGCATCTTCCAGATGGGTGGCGTATTCAATGTCATATCTATGGCCCCTATAATCACTTAAAATTAGGTGCAACACCACTATCCGTTGGCCTACTAGGTCTATTAAAAATTGAAAACAGGAATTTTATTTTAAATATACCGGCGCAGTACAGTCCTGACTTCATGCAAGCAGTTTGTAGTTAAGTTACTACACAATAACTACAAATTGCAATGTACTACAATTTATTACCTATTCATTGCAATTCTAGCATCAGCCACCAAAGTTTATTATATGTCAAGTTTATTATATTGCACCTATCAAAATTACCAACGAAATATTGCTGTAATACTATGGTTTTCCAAAACTTCGAATTATAATCTAAACCGTCATTAGTTAGAGTTTTGAGTCTTGAGTTAAATTAGTCAATAATTACAGTTAGAGTTAGATATGAATAGTTTTCAAACAATCGATAATTAATGACTCAATGCTACATAAGTGTGGCTTAGGGTATCACTTAAATATTACACTTAATACACTTATTTAACAGGAGGTTATCAGATGTGGTAGCATTAAGCGTGATCATAATGATTATAGACAACAATAAACTTGGTAGATACTATGATTATTGATCGGGGTTATTGGAGAATGTATGTATGTACGTCCTTTTGAAAGAATATTATTGTAAGTATGGGACTCACTTGTTGATATGCTTCACGTTGACCTGGTATAAGATAAGAGACTGGATAATCAAATTTAAATTTGGATACATAGTCTGTGTCTGTAAGTTCAAAAAATAGATTCTTTATTATTTCAATATTAACATGTGTTTAATTAAATTTAATGTTTTAGTACATAATTCGAGGTATCGCATGAATTATGTTTAGATTAATACTGACCATGGGCAGAATGCAACATGTAAAATATCAAATATAAATTTAATTTATACAACCTTTTGCAACTTGCGTACAATGAGGAGGTGTGATGTTTTCCAAATCATTCCCGTGCAATCCAATTACGTATTTTAGTAAAAAAATTACAATGGTTATTTTAAAGAAAACCATTTTTGTTGATACCGAAATTTTCAATAAGATATTTTAAAATTCAGTAAAGTGAACAAAGGAACAACAGTAATATACGAGTTATTATTTGACACTGTTGTGTTTAAGTTGAGTGTAGTTATTAGGAATATTGCATCAGCAAATAAATTATAACGGCCACGAGATAAGGAGTTTAAAAAAAGTCTAACGGTACATTACGTAATAAATACGTAAAAAATATTTAGCTTGTTTAAGTTTTCCTCATTGTGATTAATCATCATCTGTTTTAGGTTGGCAAAATTATGATTTGACATTAGTTTAATGCAAAAAAATATTTTGTTGATTACGTATAACTTCAAAATGTATACAACGTAAGTATTTTAAAGAACGTTTATAATTTATAATTTGTAGCCGTCGTAGCCTAGAGGATTTGTCATACTGAATCGTATCAAGAAGTGCGATGCGGGCCTTGAAATGCATCGGGTAGGTATAAGTTTTATACCCAATTTTTAGGTTTCCCGTAGNGTGTGTGTGTCCGCTCCGACGCACGACTGGAGTTTACTGGATATAAAAAATTAAACGAAACAATACGAGAAATAGTTCTATATTACGACAACACGATACACTACAGATTATTAACAAATTAACGAGACACAAAACAAACGACTAACAAATATATGAAAATACAATAATGAGAGAAACGCGCGATCAGTACGAGGCTTTGTGGCGGACTGCCGGCGCAGCAGCCCGGCGTCACCTGCGATAACGCATTTCGTGTGACATGCGCAATCAGGCGCATAACGCATTTCGTGTGACATGCTAGTACGATTTTGGTCCCCATAATTTTCATACCCCGGGCCTATATATGTAAATCGATTCTAAAGGAGTAAACTCCAAAAAAATACACCTCGTACCTATCCTGTATATACGAATAATTATTTCAACAGTAAGGAATATGATAAAAATCTACTTTATAGCAACCCTAATGCCTGCCGCGTCGGCAGCCGCGTTTGATCGCGCGCCGCAACCAATCAGGGACTCTCGTTGTCGGCTCCCGGCGCGACTCAACGACCCAAGAGCTTTCCCTTTGGCAAGCCGCGTGCGCCCCTTTTCGGGCGCCGACAGTTCACCCGCAACATAATCTATGCCCGCAACCACCGAAGCATACACGCGAGAATACGTCCGCACCTCGCTCGCTACCTTTCTTTTTCGAACTTGTTTGTGGGACCCTTTGAAGTATTCATACCCAGTGCGCGATGTACCGCGCGCTTTAGTGGGGCTGCAGGTGAGTCGCTTGATGCCTTCCTGGATGCGGCCGAGGCGTATCGCGACTGCTCCGACATCTCGGATGAGAACGCCGTCCGGGGATTGTCCATGCTGTTGTGCGGCGACGCCGCCGTCTGGTGGCTGTGTGTGAATGGCTGTGTGTGAAGTCTTCTATATCTTCGTGGTGCGATGCCGTCTCAGCCCTACGAGATGCTTTCGGTGATCGCAGGCCTCCACACCGTATATACGCTCAACTGTTCAAACGAGGTCAACAAAACGATGAAAGAACGGACCGTTCCATCGCTGCGACGCGCGCTCTTCTCGCGAAGCTACCTGCCGGCGAACTAAGCGAGAAAGTCCAGCTGGACATGATCTACGGACTACTCAGCCGCCGCGTACGGGAGAGACTTCGCCGCGACGAAGTAAGATCATTCGACGTGCTTCTGCAAAGAGCGCGCCAAATTGAAGACGCGACGGACGAACTTCGCTACGAACACGATGCCTCAAGACCGACGGGAGAATTAGCAAGAAAGCCATACGAGTCGACGACCGGCACCGGACGCACCCGCCCTCCGCCAGCAACCGCAGCGCGCACGGCCGCGTGCGCTACGAGCGGCGCCACCCCCGGCCACGAGCCCGCGACGCAGCCGCCGCTTGCTCCCGGAACGCCGCGTGTATTTGACTCCGTCGAAAGCTTCGATCAACAATACTATTGTTGATCGAAGGTCGAAAGGAAGCGACGCCCGAAATTTTCGTATTGCCATTTCTTCGGTCACGAGAAGAACCAGTGTCGTAAGTTAGATTCAAAACAAGGTGATCAATCTCATACTAACTTATTTAAAAATAAAACTCACTCAAAATCTAGTGAAAGTGAAGTTAAAAGTGATCAGTCATTTTATTGTGTCGATTCAAAAGTGTGTTTTAAATTTGAAAACGACAAATCAGTAAAAGACCGTATTCGTAGTTCTAATTTAGTGTATGAAACTTGTATACCTATTTTGCCAAACAGTGATGCATGCACTGATACCTACACACATTATAAACAACGGCGAAATCCACAAAATTATAATTTTGCTGCCCGTAATTCAAATCGTTCGAAGTTTAAGGTTACCGATAACAGTGATAATGCCGATCGAGCTCGTATTGATCGCCCAGGTTCTTCTCGAGAAAAGAACCACAATATCACTGCATGCAACACGAAATGCATAACATGTAATCGATCGAGTGACGATCGCAAAAATAATAATAGTCCGAGCGAAAACCTTACTCACGTTAACCCTTCAGCCGCCACAACTAAAAATGTTAACTCTTTGGTTGCCGAACGTAAAAATGATAATTTTTTTTTCAACAAAAATAATAATTTGGATATATTTCCTATCGTCGACGGGCATCCTTGCAGCAATGCCAATGCAAACTGGCAATGTCAAACATTAACCTGCGCGGTCGCAGAGGATTCAAATTTTGTTCATCAAAGATGTCCGGGCGACAGTAATATTTGTATACCATTAGTTGAAAATTATTGTGATAAAAACGGGATAAACCCGAATTTTCCGAAATATGGGAATAAGCGTGATGTAATGGGATTTGATTGTTTTTATGGTTGCGGCGGAGATGACGATCTTAGGGGACCCCCTATTGGTCGTGACGTACGGCCGATTTTTAACATAAATATACTGGGTTTTGACGGCACCGCTTTAATAGACACAGCTGCAAAACACTGCATCGCGGGCCATACGCTATACGCTCTCCTCCAGCAGAACAACCACCCTCTCCGCGTTTCCTCTCAACGAGTCAGACTTGCCGACGGTGTGGTGCGCATTATGGACGTTTTTACCACCACGCTCGATATACGCCTAGAGACTACAATTATTTCCACTCCATTCCTCATATTTCCTGAATCCACCAATAATGAAACATTAGGAATAGATTTTATTACCGCAGCTGGAGTAGTAATCGACTTCAAAGAAGAGGTTTGGTTCTTTAGTGATGATGCGATGGTAAAGTATAATCTATCCTTCGAACCTAAGTCGCGCAAAGTTTCCTGCGCCGCTGCAGACATCCTTAGGGATGACGAAGGTACTCACCTTACGCCAGCTGAGCGGCAAGCGCTCGCTGACGTGCTGGACAGGCACGCACACATCTTCAGAGCAGGGGGAGGTCCAACTCCGTTTGCTGAGCATCGCATCGAAACAGGTGAGCATGCACTAATTTCAGTACCTCCTTACTATTTGAATCCTTCGAAGAAACCGCCTGATGTTATATTAGGGAAATACCATACCCAAGACCTTACCTGTTACCACGGTAACAAAGGCTTCTTACCCAAACCTGTGATTCCTAAGAGGAAACGTGGACGCCCAGCTAAGGCTGTTAATGTCCTAGTCCAGGAGCGAGGGCGTTCTCCAGGACTAGAGGGGGAGTATATAGCAACCCTAACGCCTGCCGCGTCGGCAGCCGCGTCTGATCGCGCGCCGCGACCAATCAGGGACTCTCGTCGGCTCCCGGCGCGACTCAACGACCGAAGGGCTTTCCCTTTGGCAAGCCGCGTGCGCCCCTTTTCGGGCGCCGACAGTTCACCCGCAACCACCGAAGCATACACACGAGAATACGTCCGCACCTCGCTCGCTACCATTCCTTTTCGAACTTGTTTGTGGGACCCTCTGGAGTATTCATACCCCGTGCTCCAGCTGGACAACACAAAAACTTCCAATAGTATCGATTTGCGCATGGGGTAGGAGTGCGTGTTATGAATTTACACTTATTATCCTAACTAATTTTAGGGCGAAGCAGAAACGCGGTCCGATTTGAAGGATTGGGACAGTGATTCAGTCGTCATACATATAGGAGCTTTAAATGTGCCATAATCGTTGTCTATTAACCATTTAGTAGATATTTGAAAAGGTCCTCAAATATTAGGAATAGAAAATAAAGGTATTTATGGCTTTTCGGGTTCGCTTAAGTAATTTTTTTTGCGATTTTATCGCCTATAAGCCAAATTATGTAGTTTATTAGATTAAACATTTTTAGAAAACAGATTACATAAAACCTAGTTCGACGAAAAAGCCGAGTACTCAATGGCCGGATTACAATGTTAAAGTTAGAGTACAGAACTGGATGTTCTTCTTTTATATTAATGGCAATCCGCATCTTCGGATTCCGTTGCTTTCAATGTTGAGTTTATAATATACTTAGTATATGCATTAAGTGGAGGATAGAAATATGGACCACCATCTTTTTTATTGCTTCGATGGGTGGACGAGCTCACGGGCCACCTGATGTTTTTGTTTTTTTTTATTGCTTTCTACGGACTCATAGCCCACCTGGTGTTAAATGGTTACTGGAGCCCATAGACATCTACAACGTAAATGCGCCACCCACCTTGAGATATAAAGTTCTAAGTTCTCAAGTATAGTTACAACGGCTGCCCCACCCTTCAAACCGAAACGCATTACTGCTTCACGTCAGAAATAGGCAGGGTGGAGGTACCTACCCGTGCGGACTCACAAGAGGTCCTACCACCAGTAATTACGCAAATTACAATTTTGAGGGTTTGATTTTTATTACACGATGTTATTCCTTCACCGTGGAAGTCGATCGTGAACAATTGTTGAGTACGTATTTCATTAGAAAAATGGGTACCGACGCCGGTGCATCGCTCAACACGTATCCACCAGACGTCTTATCCTTTAGGCCACGACGACGTCAAATGTGGTTGTTGTGACACGATGTTAAGTGGTTACCAGAGCCCATATACATGTACAACGTAATTGCCGCCATCCATCTTTGAAACATGAGTTCTAAGGTCAAATGGTTATTAAGCCATAATTATTTTTTTACACATACAAATTTTACTAGTTTGTTTTAATACCATAAGCATCTCTGGAAATGCACAAATGTATCAAAAAGTTACATTTAATTTTCAAACGTGCCTTCTCTGGTTCGTCTAGAAGTCAATTGAAAGTTTTTTTTCAATTGACTTTTTTGGGGGAAGACAGTAAATTAGCACCATTTTACTGAGACTATTTTTCATACTTTACCATCTTATTTCATTTCAGTTTCCATCATATTATTTTCCATAAAACAGAATTTACAAAAGATCTGGCTGTATGGTGCGATGTGTGCGCCTTTCCAGTTTGAAAAATGGAACTACTACTACTACTACTGCTGTGATGTCAATAATGTCAGATTTTGTCACGCGTTCTCTTTGGTGGAAGAATAGGTAGTTGGAGTGAATACATACCAAATTATTTCGGTCTTGGCAATTTATTAAATGATTATTTACTGAAATTTAGATATAGTTACTTTAAAACATGATGAGTGACGATGATCGAGATATAGACATAGAAAGTGATGTAAGTTAAAACTTGAGAACAGCTTGTCCTATAACAAATTCTGTTTATTTTGATTACATATCTTATACATTTTCAGGCCGAAAATGATTCAGATTCTCGAACACATGCTAGAAACGGCATCGGTGGAGGTGGTGGCTATTACTCACAGGTAACATTAAGAGAATCCAACGTGTTGTCCAGGATTACATTAAATATCACACGCCTAAGTGATAGCCTTGAATTTAAATAACAAATTGATTACAAACGACGTTTTTGTCTTTTAGAATACGTTCTAAACATCAAAAAATATAGGACATCAAAGTGTTATTTAAATATTTTCTATGGAACTCAATTTAATTCTAAAAAGCATTCTCATTTGCAGGCAGAGAAGAGAGCACACCACAATGCCCTCGAGAGAAAGCGACGAGATCACATAAAAGATAGTTTTACATCACTTAGAGAATCTGTTCCTGCTTTGCAAAATGAGAAAGTGGTAAGTAACAGAAACAGTGAGAAAGGGGTAAGTACTAAGTAACCTTTTTTTTTTTGCATGTTCATATAAAATGTGAATAATTTTATTAGTTTTTTTGTTTTGATGAATGTTGTACTATGTCATGTAAAATTCACATGCAAAATAAATTGTCCATGAAAGTATGGTGTACATGAAATGAAAAAAAAAAGCACTATTAGTATAAATTGTATTTTCAAGTATAATACCACATGGTAAAATGATCCTTGCTACTAATTTCATTATCTTTAATTGCAGGCCAGTCGTGCACAAATACTAAAAAAGGCTGCTGAATATATACAATTCATGAGAAGAAAAAATAATTCACACCAACAGGATATTGAAGATTTGAAAAGGCAAAACAATATATTGGAAGCTCAAAGTAAGTTTAAATTTAGTGTTCAAGATGATAATAGGTTACTTCTTTTGTTTTAATTTCCATACTTATTTTGTTGAACTTTTATAACCTTGAAATAACATTCTATCTTTAATGGTAGTAAGGTCACTGATAACTTTACTGATGCTAGGGCATCTTGTGAGCCCACATAGGTAAGAACTATAACCCTGCTGATCTCTGCCCTGAAGTAGTAATGCATTTCGGTTTGAAGGGTGGGGCAGCTGTTGTAAACTATAATTGTAAGATTACTTTTAGCATATTGAAATTAGTGAAGAAATGTTTTCAGTGCATTTTCCAAATTAATTCCAAATTAATCACAATGTTAATACTGCACCTCATTTAGGATATGAGTTTGAAGTCTCAATTTTATTCTGTAGCAGTAAGGCCTAACCATGTAGACTCATATGTACTACAATAAATTTACATAATGTTATTGCACAACGCTATTCTCAATTATTGTGTTCGTAAACATGTATTTATCCTTAAGGCAATTTGAATTTGAGCGTTTTAAACGTGAGCATTGTCACATTTGTTGATATGAGGACATTGTACAGGACAAGATCCAAAAGGATGGGCAAAAGCCCATGATGACATCAACTCTCACAAAGTCATTGATGATGTTGAATGGTTACATCTTACATCTTATACTTGCCTTGGTGAATTTTTGATTCAAATAATGCAGTTTGGAAATGAAGTCATGATCTTGAGAACACTCCATTCATGATAGGTACATATACATTTTCAGATGATGGATACAGCATTCTACTAACAAATTCCAATTTGTAAGAGCAATATTCCAATGGAGAAATATGAAAATCTGGAATTAGTGATTAAATTTATTGCCATTTTTAATCATTGTCTATCCTATTTCAGTTAGAGCTTTAGAGAAAGCCCGAACTACTGGAAATTATGTTGATGCTCATGAGTTGGGTCTGGGCATCAAGTCTGAAGGCAGTTCACATGATACGGACAGTTCAGACGGAGAAGGCACCACCCGTCGTGTCAAAAAACTTAAAATAAATGGTGTAAATGTTTAGGAAGAATTCCATAATTGAATTATCCTAGCAGTGACATGTGGTTATTAAGTTGATTGTGAAAACTATTTTATAATATGAAGTTGTTTTATGTGCATAAATTTCTTACCAGTTCACATCTTGAACACATTAAAGATTCACATCTTAATAGTTATTGAAGAAGAATATATAAGTTAATTTATTTTTCCACTACATTGCAAAGTTTTTAGTTACAACTGATCTGTCATATGTCTGCATCCCAAGTAAAAGTACATATGTATGTTCAGTTCAAATTGATTCTGAATGGTATTGTCACATAATGGTAGCTGTACTATAATCCAGTGACCAGCAGCAGCATTGGGAACAACTAGTTAATCGTGGTTCATCATAATTGAGCTCAAACAAATAAAGGACCCATACTTTTATTCTCTTTAGATATCAAAACAAAAGAAGTTCATTTATGATGAGCCTTACTAATAATGTACCTCTCTAGTAATTGGCAAAAAAGCCACTGATTCCAATGTCATTCTCGGATCACTGAATTGTAAATGTTCACCAACATAATAAAATAAATTTCAGGAAAAGGAACATTAATCTCTTGGCTCTTGGATTATTTTCAATTCTCTTTTTAAATTTTACAATTTTAATGTAAATATTTGAGTAACAAGTTAGATAAGCGTTTGGAATCATTGCTAGGAGTGATTTTGTTATAATGACATGTTTCTGTCAACAAGTACCTATTGTTAAAATTGTTCATGTACATAATACATGTGTTAACATTATATTGGATTTTCTTGAATTTAGTTTTGATTGATAATTATAGAAAATGAATTGTATTGATGAATGAATGGATAAATCAACTGCGTGGTTGCTGTCTGAAAAAATACAAAGTTATATTGCATTTTTTCATGTAATAATCAAAGTATTGAAATTAGCTCAACAAAGTCAGAATATACCCAAAATTAATGCTAATATTAAGTGAATTTTCAATGTAATGAAAATTTAATTCAATTTTAAACTGACACAAGTGGTATATGGATCAATACAACATATATTCTCTACGGTCGCACTATATTCATACATACTCTATGCATCTCTTCAAAGAAATGTCACTCAAATGACATAGAAATTATTTAGTGTTTTTCCATTTAAATGACATTGAAAAATTTGGACACAAAACAATTGGGTCTTAGCGAAGAATTTCCATGGTCTTCTTACTTTCTACATCTGCCAATATTTTATCTGGGAATTCCTGCTTTGCGACAGTACTTGTCTTATTTTTAAGGATAGTTAAAACTTGTGATTTTGGTAAGATCTGGCCACTGAAAAGCTGATAGAGGTAGTCACGACATTTGATTCTTTACACGTGTTTCTGATATTAGTGTCGTTTTTATCATAGCTTGAAGATATCCAACAAACGGATCAGATGTTTAACAGAACGTATTTAGCAAAGAAACATATACTACAAACAATAAAATATCAACTACGATCGATAAAATACTTCACACATATTTGGTGAGATAAATTATAGTACTATTTGGACACCACAACCGGCTGAAATGCATTGTGTGAGTGAGTATAACAGAAATGCGTCTTGATGGTGATAGAATCTAAGGTGCAAATATTTTTGTTTATTCGATCGATGTCAAGAAAATTCAATATACTTCCGTATTTTAGTGATAAGACAGTCTTCTTGAACATGTTCTCAAAGATACTCTTTAGTGAAGCTACCAAAACGAATGTTAATTTTAAGAACACTTTTTGCAATTGTACAGTAATATATACAACATTCCTTATAATTTTTGAGCCCTCTATGATTAATAATAAAAAGTTGAAAATTTCAAGTCAGAAGCATTGTAAACTATTGTAAGATATTGTAATTTGTTGTATAATTATTGTATTACATGACAATTATATTTTAAATAAGAAGCTGTATTTTTTATATTAAAAAAAAGAAAACTATTTAGGGTAATAATATGTTATAAATTAAGCTAAAGTTTTTCTTTTCGTTCTCGAAGACTAAAATAAAAAATCAACACCCAATATCTTTTTATTCATTTTTTTAAGGAAATTTATGACTTGGTAACTAAGACCTTTAGGTCAAGTCCTATTTTAATTTTTGATCTTATTTTTATGAAAAATGTTAACATGGAGTGAACTGAAATGAAATAAAGATGATTAATTTGAGACATTAATCAACTAGGATGAAATTCTATGAAATGAGATGAGATGATATGGGATGAAATGTAATGTCAGTAAAATGATGGTCATTTACTGAGATTTTTTCAGTGAACTTTTTGGAGGATCCCGAGAAGTTACGTCCACGTTTCATTTTCCCACATTTGTGCGCTTTGACAGATATTAAACAGTTAATAAACCACCGCTATTACACATTTAAACCTGAAGAAACACTAAATAGACAAAATAAAACAAATCACACAACTTCACTCCGCGTTCCCGCCAAAAATCACTTTTTATTCATGTTCTTATTATCCATAGATACGTAATACACTTATTATTTGTTCTCCTTCTTCTTCTTTATGTTTTAGCCCCGGCACGGTTTGTGCATTAGCCAGCGTCAAGTAATAAGATTTTATAATTAGCCGTTTTAATTATTTACAGTTTATGAATAATATAAAACGAAGGAAACTAATCACGACATAACATAAATGATTAAAAACGAATTAAATTTACAAATGAGGTGTTATGTCATGAAGTATAATCTTATAAAATGGTGGTCATTTAGATAATACGTCCTGATACTCATCGAGATGAAAACGTAATTTGCGTTTTGCGATTATAATATCTCTAATTCCGACTTTAAATTTTATACAAATAAATAAATAATAGAGTAAGTATGATGTATTAAGTTTTATGCAAATCCAGACTTCTTGCAATGGCCACTGGAAAAGTGCCATGTACCGGCTTGAGGACGCAGGCCCCTGATAGCAGACTGATCGTTGGACGACCATCAACGAATATAAATGATCGAATAATCAGAAAAAGACCTGGTGGTAGGACAACGTCCGTGAGAAAACGTTCTCGCTATTTCTTTCGCTGTGTTGTTTTGCATTTTTAAGTAGAAAACTTTTTCTGTTTTCATTTCGTAATATCATATTCAATCAATTCGCATAGATGTGTGAGCTAGCTCAAGCTTATTCTGGGCACACTGGAGGTCATTGCCTTGTCAGCGCAGCCTTCCATCTTGAGATAAGAGGTCGAAGTCATAATTGTACGATTTTTTTTATTGCTTGAATGGGTGGACGAGCTCACATTCCACCTGGTTACTGGAGTCCATAGACATCTACAACGCAAATGCGCCACCCACCTGGAGATATAAGTTCTAAGGTCTCAGTGTACTTACAACGATTGCCCCACCCTTCAAACCGAAACGCATTACTGCTTCACGGCAGAAATAGGCAGGGTGGTGGTACCTACCCGTGCGGACTCACAAGAAGTCCTACCAACAGTAATTACGCAAATTATGATTTTGCGGGTTTGATTTTTATTACACGATGTTATTACTTCACCGTGGAAGTAAATAGTGAACATTTATTGACTACGTATTTGATTAGAAAAATTGGTACCCGCCTGTGACTCAAACACCGGTGCATCGCTTAATATAAATGCACCGGACGTCTTTATCCTTTAGGCCACGACGACTTCTAAACACAACTGTACCATCCTTCAAAATTCAGAACGCATGACAGCTACGTAGTAAGACTGTCAGGGTTATATGTACATACTCGTAAAGTAAGGTGTTCAACAAGGGCGGATCCAGCTTTGGTGCCAGGAGGGGGTCACATAGTCATAGTCAAGTCAAGAACTTATAATTTAATTTTGATAACAATAGATACAAGTAAAAAGTAGGTATTTTATTAATGTACGTAAGTACTGTACTTAAAAATATTTATTATTTATTGTACACTTGAAAAACTTAACACATAATAACTTGTACATATTTAAAAGCTTTTATTTTTAAAAGCATTAAAATCAATGTGGTCACGACGATACACTTGATTTCATTGCGTGAATTTATCTAAGATTTTATTAGGTTGGGTTAGTAACCTTAGGCTCTTCAATCTCTCTCGTCCAAAAAATATATATAAGTAGGTACATAAGTCACGCAGGACTCTTTCTGTAAGTAGGTACCTACATATCTACCTACGAGGTACTTTATGAGCATTAACAACAATAACATTTAAGTTAAAACACACACACTGGGATAATAATCGTCGCAAGCGGGAATGCTACCAGGCTTGGGCTAGGGCAAAGGCCGCTAAGGATGTAAACTCTGACTCACTCAAGAAGAAGTACAACTCTGCTTCCAGGTTCTTTAAGAGGCGAATTGCATTGGCAAAATCAAATTACGTTGGGAGAACTGGCGAGAGACTGGCACGCCTGCCATCTGGCTCTCGTGCGTTCTGGTCTCTCGCCAAGGCTGTCCAGGATAATTTCTGTCGGTCGACGCTTCCACCTTTGCGCGGGGAGGGTGGTTCATTGGCCTATTCCGCAAGGGAGAAAGCCGATCTTCTTGGCTCTATCTTTGCGGAAAACTCGACTCTTGACGACAGGGGGAACACTCCTCCGACCATCCCGAGGTGTGAAACCACAATGGCGGACGTCCGCTTCACACAGTGTGCTGTGCGGAAAGCACTATTCTCCCTGGATGTCAACAAGTCGAGTGGGCCCGATGGAATATCTCCTATTGTGCTAAAGGTGTGTACTCCAGAGCTGGCACCGGTTTTAACGCGCTTATTCAGACACTCTTATGTCCTCAACGTTGTCCCACATTCATGGAAGACGGCTCTAGTACACCCGATCCCTAAAAAAGGCGACCGCTCAGATCTGTCCAACTACAGGCCTATCGCTATCACCTCCTTACTCTCCAAAATTATGGAATCCATAATCAACCGCCAGCTCATGGGCTACTTGGAAGAGCACCAGCTGATCAGAGACCGCCAATATGGCTTCCGCAAAGGCCGATCAGCTAATGATCTTCTGGCTTTACTAACTCACCGTTGGGCGCAGGCGGTTGAGAGTAGGGGTGAGGCACTAGGCGTTAGTTTGGACATTGCGAAAGCCTTCGATCGGGTTTGGCATAAAGCCTTACTATCGAAGCTTCCTTCCTATGGGCTTCCTGAGAGACTTTGTAGGTGGATCGGCAGTTTCCTTGCGGAACGGAGAGTTAAAGTCGTCGTAGACGGCTCNCACCGTTGGGCGCAGGCGGTTGAGAGTAGGGGTGAGGCACTAGGCGTTAGTTTGGACATTGCGAAAGCCTTCGATCGGGTTTGGCATAAAGCCTTACTATCGAAGCTTCCTTCCTATGGGCTTCCTGAGAGACTTTGTAGGTGGATCGGCAGTTTCCTTGCGGAACGGAGAGTTAAAGTCGTCGTAGACGGCTCATGCTTGGACCCCCGGACCGTAAATGCTGGTGTTCCCCAAGGCTGCGTGTTATCCCCGACATTGTTCATTCTGCATATCAATGATTTGTTGCATACCAGTGGCATTCATTGCTATGCGGATGACAGTACCGTGGATGCACTGTATTTTGGCCGCAGCAATATCTCTCGGGATCACGTCGATGAGTGTCGGAACAAACTTGTGTCTAAAATCGAATCATCCCTTGTGAAGATTTCCGATTGGGGGGGACTAAATCTAGTCCAGTTTAACCCTTCTAAGACTCAAGTTTGCGCGTTCACCGCTAAAAAAGCCCCCTTTGTCGCATCGCCACTCTTCGGAAACACTCACCTTTGTGCCAAGCCGAACATTAGCATTCTGGGCGTAGACATTTCAAGTGTTGTCCAGTTTGGCGGTCATTTGGAGAGCAAGGCTAAAATGGCCTCCAAA